TTTTTAGGTTTTGGGGTTTATGTAAATAGTTATTTTGCATAATAATAATAATAATTATCTTATGTTTACAGTCATAAAATAAATATGGTTTAAAAAGTGGTACTAATAAAGGATATTATTTATTAAATTGCGTTCTTTATATTTCGGGGTTTAATGCGTTTTAATGCTTTATCCTATTGTTTTTACCTAAACTATTACTGCATAATATTATCTAGGTAGGTATTGGTAAATTACCCGTTAAGATATACATTGCAAATTGCATTGAAAAACATAAAACAGTTTCTTCAGAAACAGATATTTATGGGGAAAGACGTTGCTAAATTACAATCAACGAGCGATCTGGTTATCGAAAAGTAAATTTTCCACAACATGTGGATGTTTGCAGTTATAATTCTGGTATGGTTAAAATTCACATTTTAAGCTCCTTATAAAATATCAGTAGAACAGCATAATTATTATGTACCTAATAGCTGCTTTAACTAGAGCAAAACATTTGTCAAAGCTTGTTTTCATGCAGACGACGAATTGAAAGTAATATTACAAAAACATGATTAATGTATTTAGTGTAATTAGTTTTGGCTATTGTTAGTTTCTAAAGTAAATAACGTCAATTAACAGCGTTTGACGTTGGAAATGTTGTTCGTTCAACGCACTAAGAAGTGTTAGCCAAAGAGAGGCGCAGAATTTCATCCGAAATGAACCTTGAAATGGTGCCAAAACTATATTCCTGTGTCTCGTGCTCTGATTAAACGTCTATCCTCTTATTTTGTTTGGAAACAACCGGGAAGTTTGGAAATATAAACACTGCGCAGTGAATAACTATGTAGGATATAATACGCAGAGTGTAATAAATGCGAAATTTCTGGTTGCCCTAGTAAACGTGTTAGAAATAGAAACGCTTGTAAAACAACAGTAAAATCTAATACAGATGCGAAGTGTATCGATTCTTGTCAAATATTTGATTCGATGATGAAATAAAGTTTGGGACGGCGACTATTTTTATTTATAAACTTGATTTCAAAACAGACTTTTTTTTACGTTTTGTAAGTTTATTTTAATACTCCACATTAAAACTATAGTATTGAATCATGCTGTTTCATGTATTATAAAAAAGGACGCATAAGTACTTGCAGCAATGTAACGTACACCTGGTTATTTTTTGGGAAATAATGTGAGGCATCTCTTAAAAACAGTGAAAATCCTTATTACGGATATTGGCTGTACACATCGCACATTACGATTTTGATATTCAAAAACTAATGAAAGGCCTCAACTATTTGGACAGTTAATTTTATACGGAGGCCTCGCGTCTACCACGATTAACTCACTCGGCCTACATTTGAAAGCATCAGAGTTAAGTTTATTTATTGAGTCATTTATTGCTACACATGGAAAGTAAAATTCCACCTACTTTGCACAGAACATTAAATTCAACATGACGAAAGATGGCAATGAATTCATGGATAAGTTCTGTGGGAATATGTCTGCCATTAAAAATATTTATTTACGTAAATATTATTCAACATAATAAAGAAGAAGAAGACGCAGCAGAAGGTTGTTCTCATTCGTTCATAGAGAGCACAGACTATTACAGATTGACTTCACCGCTGTAAAGTCGACCCTCCCTTGGTCTGCGGGTTGCGGGAGGGAGATGCGCTCGACCAATCAATCAGTAGCCTGTCAGCTCAGCGATAGATGTTTAACGTCAGAATTCGCGCGAATTACCGAGTCTTCGTAATAAAAAAATAAGAAGTCGGGCAACGATTATGCTATAAAATGTGGCGAAATAAATAAAAACCTTTTACATTTTAATATATTTTTCCTTATAACAATATTTACGGCAAGACTAGGTATTACATCGTATTAATGTAAGTCCATATTATAAAGTCGAAGTCTGTCTATTTTTTATGAGTAACAAATTATTACACTTATTCATTCGTTATACTAATACAAACACTAACACATTTGAAATAACAACACGACGATTTAAATATCATGAGATCTCGCAGCGTCGGTAATGCCGTGTGTACCTATGCACACTCGCCGCCCCGCGTCCCGCGGACCATCATGAGGGTGACAGTGGTCAAGCTATACACATAGAGAGAAACATATTAGCTTATTTTTTACAAAAAAAACTGTAATGTATTCAGGATTCATTTATGTATGTATGTACAATTCTTTATACCACCATAACTTCTAAACGCCTTAACCGATTTAGATGCGTGTGGTATCGTTAGAATCCTTTCACCATCACGAGTAACATATATCTTAAACTGTCAAAATTGATATAACAAGAAAAGAAAATTATTTATGTCAATAAAAAAGTCTTTTTAATATTACAATAGTGTCGATTCTGGCATGATTCTCTAAACCTAAACTTAAATTTGACAACAGTGTATCCTTGTCATTCTCTACACAGAATGAAAAGGAGAGACGATGTTAAAATTAGTTTTAAGTTTAGAGAATCATGCCAAAATTGACACCAATATAGGTATATTTTGAAAGCCTTAATGATACCATATCAAATATAAAAAAAAAACTTTTTAGTTCATTTTGTGTTTGACATTATAATACTTATGACTTGACTTTTGATTTTTAATAATTTTTATTTGATGGAAATTAATGAATTTTAAATTATGTAATTTATTAACATATTTTTCTTTGTGATATAATTAATCAGTTGATCTTTAATCTAAATTATTATATTATATTAAATAACTACTGTTTTGAATTACTTTTAAATTTAATAATATGATTAGTTGTATTTTTAGTGACATGTATTATGGTAATTGTTTATTATGTTGCTCGAAATAAATGAATTTTATTTTTTATTTCCTTAATATTTTTAAGGCAGTTTTTTTAAATTAATTTTTTAATTATGGTATCTACTTCATCTACTTACTGAACTTTCTTTCAGTAAAAGAAGATTTAATGAAATCGAGGTATAAGTTTTACATTTTTTTTTATTTAGATTTATAGCAGTTTCATGCTAAAAAAATATAACGGTGTCGATACCGGCATAATTCTCTAAACCTAAACTTAAAATTGACAACAGTGTATATATATATATTAATTTTATACTTTTCTAAAAACCAAGCTAACCAATTAAAACACTTTGCTATCTATTTATTAGCTATTCCGAAAATTCCCGATAGGTAAATATAACGAAGATTTTGCATGTTATATTGGTTATGTAGTTCCTTGTACGTGTCTGTGCGAATGCGTAGTGCGTCGCACGCGCCGCTCCGCGCTGTGACGCACGAAATTTTCCGCCCAAATCATGACCGCTGACATTTCGGAGAAGTTTTTTTTACAGCGGTGCTTTGAGGTCGATCCTTTGTGCTATTTCAGGAAAACCTGGACGCGAGCCAATAACACATGGACTTTCGGCGCAGTACATTGAACATATGGCTCTCATCTCTACATTTGCTTCTTGCAATTATGAGCTTTCCACCATTCTCTTTAAGGTTTTGATTTGCCGCAAAAGGGCATTCCTCACATTGTTTTAGTTTTTTGCACGGATTTTCTTTGTTTAGTCGAAATACGAATGGGAACGTTGACACTATAAGTGAAATGTTTTTCCAGGCGTTGTCCTCATGGCTGTTAATAAATCTCAATGTTAAGGTCTTCTTCACCGGAAAGTCTAAATCACAAATAGGAATGACTCTTTTGTAGGTATAATAATATCAGTGCATGATTTTGTTTTTTCCTAAATATAATAATATGTCCTGGTAATAATTGGTGATGAATTTCATTAATAGCTAAAAAATAGATAGTTTCACAAAAATATTTTAATTTAATTAAGTTGTTCACAAAGTTAAACATCACATTTTTAAGAAATTTTAGAAAGCTGCAGTCACTCTTCTTTCCCATGTTATGTGAGTCACACATGGGAAGGAAATTACTAGGCTCTGCAGTTGCGCAGGTGCGTAATTTTCGTCAGAGGATATTTACATTGGGTCGTAACCGTTAAAGTTGGTGCTCATTTTTTTTAGTGGACACAAGGCTGATAATATTTGGGTCTATATTATGACCTCAACGTCGCTCTATGCGGCGACATACACATACTTAATTCGAAATACAGAGTATATATTTAACATGTTCTTCAATAATAACAATCGGAACTGTTGTATTAATCGTAGCGGTAATTGATACTGGTTGCGTGCGCACAACGTAACCAGTGTCAATTAACTTTTACTTCACACATCTTTTCCCTATTCGAAATTCTGGTTATCAATACGCATGGGCGTAGCTAGAGATTTTTGCTGAGAGGGGGGCGGGGGTGATTATTCCTAATATAAAAGTCTAATTCTGGAGTTGGCATTAATATTAATAGAGATAACTATGCTATTTATTTAAGCACAATAGGATAAGAATACAAAAAAACATTACAATAAATTTAAATTAAAAAAGTTTTGTATAGTTATAGCCTCCTAGCCTCCTTGACAAAGGAAGGATCCTACGCCTTCGTGGATGGTAGTGCCCGAGTGATATTGCAACAGTTTACTACAAATTAGGCTATTGTGCTTGTTTATGCTCACCAGTCAAAATTAATTGTCATTCACAAAAATAATGGCGCAATCTAATCGCAATAGTATTTGTCTTTTAAGCCCAGCGTGATAGATTTTGAATTTAACAAGCACGATAAAGACAAAAAAAAAACGACGTGTCAAAAGTATTTTCGGGTCAGGTTGGCGCAAGCTCGACGCGTCGCTGCGGCAGTTGCGCGGCAGCGCAGCAGTGTAGCATTAGTGCGATCAGTGCGCAGGCGCGTGCTTCTTCACTGTCTGCTCCTGCGCTGCCACGTTGAGCGTCTTCTGTCGATATATCTCTATGTCTATGGGTTAAGCAGAGCTCCGCTAGTTGGGGATGGCAATGCCTAAGTGATACTCGTATATTAACCTTCTATTAATTGGTGCTTTTTATATGCTCTCCATGCGCGTAAAAATATGTCCCCATTCTGTGTTTTCTTGCACGGCCTGCATTTGATTGAGATGAGATTTGGTTTTGAACCAATAAAACGACAAGTCACAATGATCAAAAGTTTATTTGGGTCAGGTTGGCGCAGGCTCGACGCGTTGCTGTGCCAATTGCGCCGCGGCGCAGCAGTGCAGCATGAGTGCGGTCAGAGCGCAGGCGCGTGCTTCTCCGTTGTCTGCTGCTGCGCTACCGCCTTGCGCGTCTTCTGACGATAACTCCTCACGAACTGCTTGCAGCTATTATATGAAAAAATATTGGATATTTAAATTACATCACATCGAAGTTTAAATAAAGATAAATATTGACTTCGGATAAATGTAATCAGGGCCGGTTTAAAGGTGTATGGTCTCGAAAGCGTGGCGTATTTTACGATTTGCACCCAGTTGGTGATCGGTTTATTTTTTACCTCCATTGTGGGGGTTCCTAGGGCCCTGCCCTGCCTTGAATCCGGCCCTGAATGTAATCGAATTTAGAAATTGTATCGCAACTAAGCAAATGCTACCCACTGGCTAATCGGTATTGGTAGCCGGTCACATTTTTACGAAAAACTGTCTATATTACTATTTTTACGCAATACTTTATTTACGGAAACGAGTTGGTGGAGCGCTTTCTTTATCACATAATCGTTTACAAAGTGCACCATACTTGTGGAAGGTATTCTTTCGGACATGATTGTTTCCTGTTATGTCAGCTCAGTGCTGCCGCTCATCGCAGCGCAGGCCGTAATTAGATATCATATATTATCATGTGTACCATCTCATGTATCTGTTGCGCGGTGAGCTTGGCGGCGAGCTCAGGGGCGGAGTCCCGCGCGGCCGCGAGCAGCGCGTCCGGCGGAAGGGCGCTGCGCAGGGCCGGCTGTAGGATGGCGCTCACGTCGCCGCGCTGCAGCCACGTCAGCCCGCAGCCGCCGAACGGGTTCCCCGACGGCTCCAGCGACTGCTTCCTTTGCGTTACAAGGACTGAGCGTAAAAAACGGCGCCGCTGCCGGTGTTATTGTCAACGATCAGCTGCTACTTCGTACTACTTCTCTACATGCTATAACTACGGGAATGTTTTTATAAGATTATGATAATACAGTACTGTCAATTTTGCAATGAGTTCAAGAGAACACCACCTAATAGAAAAAGACACATGACAACTATTGCAAGTAGATATAATGAGCTAAAGGAAGCATATTATTTACAAACTAAAAGGCACCGGCTCTGAAGAACTGGACTGGCTGAAATGACTCCAGCTCTAAACCCTAGCAGCATATGTACATTTTTTTTCGATGACGGGGAGGAAAAATGCATTATATCCACGACGGTGACCACGCCACGTTGGTTTGCTGTCAACAAACTCTCGCAGGTAATTGCGTGGTGCATTCGGCACGCGGCGAGCAGCCCGAGGGCCGCTTGTCGGTGCGGGTATACTTTGACGTACACTCACGCAAGCGTGGCATACGCCAATCACACCATCTCCGACAAGCAGCCCGGTCAGCGGCAAATGTACCTAAGTGAAATTAAAGATATGAAATCTACGTTGTTATACCTGGGCGTGTGACTCGGCGAGGGCGGTAGTGAGCGTGATGATGAGCAAGTGCGTGGCGCGGACAGCGAGTGCGCTGATCCCGCGCGCCGTAAGCCAGCCACCAACGCGCTCATTGTCCCACCACCTGATCAACAACCTTCATAGACCACTAGCTCTCAAGAATCCAGTACAGAAGAATAGGTGGGAAAGAACATCCGTTGGTATCAATGATGTTTATAGAAGACAACATAGATGTTGGTCGATTATTAGGCTATGTGGTCCTGTTCTAATCTATTGTAATCCAAGAGTACCGGATAAGTGCTGTAATGGTGTGGCATAGCTGCAACCATTCTACTTGTCAATATAGTGGTGAACTCTAGGTCAGGCCTTGGCCACCACTACTTTTAAAATGTTTCCTCCAGTATGTCGACCGTCCTTTAAAAGGTCGCTGTCAAAAAAAGCCTGTACCACCATCCTTTAAAAGGTCGTCTTATTACCGCGACACTTTAGAGATTAATTTAGCTTGGTTAAACTATTGTCATCTCTCTCAAACTTTACTACAGTGTAGAGAGTAAAAAAAGATGGCATGCATAATTATAACTCCTGCCAAGTGATGTAAGACCTCCAGTCTCAACACTGAGCTCGCCTTTTGTATATACCTTCAATCAGTCTTGGCGTCAAGTGTTCGCGGAATATTACGATTAAAAAAAGTATGGGGTAGTGTATATTTTATTGCTTTTTGTTAAATATTTTATCCTGTGATAAACAACCCAAATATAACTTCTAGCAAAGCCTTTTAGTAATGATTATAAGAATTGTAATACAGAAAACTGAAGATAAAACACTTGTCCTAATTTCACCTTCGAATAAGTTATTAAATTTACAATAAAACTATACTCGATTGTACATAATCTGATAGATTATATAATAAGTAGGCCAGTAATATAAGGTTTTGACATAGTCTTCATAGTTTTTTTTTAGATATCATCATTTTAATGAGTGGTCGGTAATAGTCCGGAAGTACTTCTGAAGTACTTTGACCGTCAGCGCCATAATGCGACAGTATACGGAAGATTGTTATTTAGTTTGTTATTCAATTTCATCCAGGCTGGCACAAAATAATTTTATTGTCAGTCCAGCCAGAAACCTTGTAAAAGAAAGAATGTTTTAATAAGTAATTCTCAACTAGTGTTGCCAGTTCCGAATTGTTTTCAATCAAACATGAGGTCAAAAAAACGGGATTTAAGGTTGCAGATCGGGCGGGACAGTAAACAAAACCCCTTAGTTTTTAAATCTGGGTATAATTTATTGCGTTTACTTTTTAAATTTTTGAATAATCTTGATTTTGATCAGGTACAAATCGGGACGCGTCCCCAAACTCCTGAAAATCGGGATGTCCCGCGCAAATCGGGACACCTAGCAACACTATTCTCAACCCAAGACGAGGTTAAATTAGAAATGACATTGTATTTCAAAATACTTTTCTTTTATAATTTTTTGTTTAATCTTATAGGTACCTATTTCGTTACAGTTTTATATGTATACTTTAAAATACATACAATATAAAGCTGATTGTTGGCGAGTTATTTATTTGAATCTCCTCTACCGACCGTTGCTGTCGCACAAGGGCAACATCCCTTTTATTGCTGGGTCCAAAGCTAAAAGGGTAAAGGAAAGTCTTTCGAATGCTACCTAGGCGACATAAATATAGCGACTTTCCGTGTCTATAGTTTTTTTTATTAAAAATTTAATGGGTAGAAGTAATTCTTTGTCTGGGTAATTTTATTGATACATTAATTCTCGAAACCTAACTTGCAAACAAACTGTTTGACTTAATCCATAATTCTCTTAGCTTGAATAATTGCTCGAAGAACCATTCATTGCAAGCAAAAGAGCAAATACCCTAAAAAAGTTATTAAATACAACTCTAAAAATATGGCAACATCATTATAACTGCAATTAAATGATATAAAGAAGAGAAGGTTGGTTCTGATTTCAAATTAATATTATTTTGTAATTTTACATTACATTTCAGAAGATTACAGAGGACTCTCTGTTGTGACTACAACGCAAGGGAGATTTATGTGGATTAAGTAGTTTGTGAAATTATGAACATTTATGAATTTTAGAACTTACGGAATTAGATGCGTTTACCAGAGCGTTAAAGGACAGAACAAAGTTTTATTGGGCAACAAGGAACTTTTAATGCGGCAGATATTAACAAACGCGTTTGTAAAGTAGGTAAGCAATGTTAGACACCTATTACTAATTCGAAATTCATGTGCCTGAAATTGTTAGCTAATTAGGAACCACCTAACTCCAAATTAACCTTCTTAAAGAATGTTTGAAGCGTATTAACCTTAGACTAACACAATAAACGAGCATCCAATATAACTGATTCAGGCAAACATTAAAAAAATAGATCTGAATGCAAACAAAATTAATAAGATTTCATACAGGGAGAGAGTTTTCACAAGAACAAAGGATCTAGCGGGAGTCACAGCTAATATTAACACGACGACACTAGAAGGGAATACAAACAATGGACGTCGGATAGCGCAGAGTCCAACAGAATATAGACTCAGAAGGGCTTCACAAAGTTAATAGTACAGTTAAAACCTGGATATGTTCGAGTGGATACGGATCGGAGTTGGCCCGGGGCGTTAAATACACGATACCTTTCGTCACCATTCGTATAATTCGTCTGTGCATGATGAAACAAAAGCAAGCAAACGTTTAACAAGGTACACATTTATCAAAACAAGTACTTAATTAGTAAATGTAATCAGAGATAGTATCTACAGAATAGTCATGGGTTGTCGTATAGTTCTAATACTCTTTAAATAAAGCATAAGTAATAATTTATCAGCAAATGTAAAGTATGTTTTGGATTATCAAAAATTGTCTAGACGATATCGCTAGATAGATACTCTATAATTTGACTATTTATTATTTAATAAGTGTAGGTATCTAATTGTACATTATACTCCATTTATCCATCCGTTTAAAGTTGGTAGAGTTTCCGCTTCCAGCGTTTAAAAACTTTATTTTAAAGAAAAGTGTGTGCTTATGCATATAAAAATAAGAATCGTCTATGATGTGTTAGAAAGAGTAAAGTCGGGCCTTTAATTTAAAATGTCTTTTCAAGCATTGGCATTACATTATTGACTCTTAATTTAAACATTTCGTTATGTTGAAACAAATTGATTTATCGTTAGTAGTTACCTTCTTCATGGACGTCCAAGGAGTCCTTTCTTTCTGGTTCGTCGTCGGAATCGGGGTCGACAATCGAATCCGCTTCTGTGGTTATCAGTTCAGGGGGTGGACAGCCTATACCACCTGGAGTATCTACGAGAAGCAGAAGAAAATTTTGATAAATATAGTATTGAGAAAATTTTATAGTTTGTGTTGAATTGAAGTGTGGCTGTCTACATGTCTGTTTCAACGTATTCATAACCAATCCAATTTGTGCAACATCAACGAATGAATTGTCTCAAGAATCTTTGAACATTGTGGCGACATTCAAAAGTGAAGGAATTCAGAAATTTATGAAAGTATAGGCAGACACGCCTGATCTTTAGGTTATAATTTCCTTCAGATTATAGAACACATGCAATCTGAGGTAATTTCCATGAATGAATATTATCATTGTTATCTAATAGTAAGATAAGTTTTGTCTTTATTTTTCATAAAAATGTTATAAATAACGTAATAAACAACTATCAGTACGGAAATGGAAAATCCGTACAATAATTGATTCATTAAAAAAATCTGCCAATGTGCAACAAAGTTACTCTAGATTTTCGATAATAGCTCCTCTGAGATAAAGTTTTAAATCTTAAGAATGTTGCGGTTTAATGTGCTGAAAAGCTAAACGTTACTTATTTGATTTTTGCAATAATATATCTTTAATCCTCTGAAAACTTGTGAGTGTATTGACATAATATTACATACCGAATTATTATCTTTTTAGTTTTAATATCGATTCGATACCTGGGCGAATTTGTATTTTTTTAGTGTAAAGACTTTACCTGTTCTCGAATGTTTACAAAAAGTTAGGTGAGAAGTAATTTTTTAAAGTTTTTAGTTGTATGTTCATTCTTGAATTTTTGTTTTAATACATAATTAAGTGAGAAGTGAACCCGTGGTAAGCGCCATTGCAAAGCTAAGTGGGGCATTCTTTCGCCTTCCGTGTGGCTTTGCATCGGCCACGCAACCCACAACTGCATACCTGCTGCTATTGCTAGAATGTGTAATTTTATTGTGCTCTTGAAAGTATTACATTAATCGTATATTTCTTAATAGCCATTATTCAATTGTACCTATGATTATTTACGTCTGTATGAGCTGACTCTTTTAGGAGAGATAGGATTACTGTTAGAACCTTCCAGTTTACACATTTTCAAGGACATCGCCAGAGGGACAGGGGGGTGTTTAGCTGCCCTCCCAAAAAGAAAAAAATAGCCGAATGTAAAGAAAGCAATGTCTTCAATCCACTCATTTGATTTGCTTGTCTGTGCAAAAACTGATGCATGCGTTAAAAAATATGACTATTTCTACACAATCTCATTTTTCTTCTACTGCTTTCCCCAAATCATTCTCTTTCAACCTTGCATCCCTTTACACTCCACTTTCTCGCTTTCTTGCAATGCTTTATTCTTTCTCCTCGCGGTACCCTAGCAGCCTTGGGCTGGAAGTGGTAGTTTCTCAGTTTCATTTACCAACTCTCATCGCTATGGAACATTAAATAAAAATATCGAAACACACTCAACAACCATATTGAAAAACAGAATTAAAATAAAAATGGTGTGGTTTTATGAAACCTTGATGCAAGTAAAACTTTTTTCATGTTTTTTACATCTCCTCAATTTTATTTCCAGTCGTAGACATTGAACAGAAAATTTCAAACTCAGTAAATGATACAAAATGAAAAAAAAGCGGTTAAATGCGAGTCGGATTCGCCCATGAAGGGTTAAATAAAAGTACTTGTAGTTTGTTGTAACTTTGATCGATGTTTTAATACTTAATATTGTTTTTTTTTCAAAAACTTGTGGCGATGTAATAAAAGTTTAATTTTAAAAACATTTCTGCTTTCTGCAAACACGAATGTGATTCCAATTCCAACTAAGTTCAGCACTAGAAATGTGAAGCTTCATCTTCCCCTAATTCATACTTTTTTCATTTATGTATGTGAACTTGCCAGACCGTAATCAGAGGTGTATCTATTTAAGAGAGGACAGCGGTAAACAGTGGTAAAGCATAAGCGTAAGGCGTATTTTTAAATCTGACGCCTCCACTTAAGATTTGACTCGTAAGGTAGCCTCAACAGAACACAGAAAGAGGTTAGAAAGGTGATCAGAGACCGTAATGTCGCGGCTCGCCCCCACTACATTTCCACGTAATAATAATAGCCAATCAAACGACGCAACATCAAAGAATCGAACGAATCAGCGCTCACACCCGAGAGCAATGACGCAATCAGAACCAAGTTTTGGTCAAGTTATGAGCATTTGCTCACACATAACTGTAGCATGCCTGCCTTGTAACCTCTTTCTGTGTTCTGTGGTAGCCCCCCCTAGGCTATAGGCTGGCGACGCCCTTGCACATTTTTATTACTTAAAGCAGTGTTCATTATAATGACAGCCGCACTCAGAGAAAACTGGAAGAGATGTGTCATTTTCTTTTGTTTAGTTCGATCGAAAAAGAATAAATAAATAATTGTTACAAGAGATGTTTGAAAATAAACTCTATTCTACCAACGCACGGAACTGTATCACATGCACATTCTTTCAGCGGCCGCATTTAAACATGAGCACAGCATCGGGCCACGACTCGTATTGATCGGTCATCTCATCTTCAGTTTCTTTAGAAAGTAAGAAAGAGTCCATAATTATATCGGTTCTGATTCAGATTATTCAAAACTAAACATAATATTCATTATTTTTAAGCTTAGATAACGAGTTTGACGTTCAAGGGCACTGACTTTCTATTTCAATCTTTTGCGTCTGTATAAAATAATGAAAATAAACTTTTTTTTTCAAGCAGTCCATGAAACGTCCCTGAAATAAAGTATAAATTCATGGAGTTCAATAACCGGATTGGTCGTTGACACCATTCGCTGCAGAGCAAAACATTTGGCGGGATTTCAAAGAGATTATGAGCACGTAAATCTGATACCTTTTTCAGTATACCGACAATTACAAAAAACTTTGGGAATGACTTATAAATACTTACTTAAAGGTTATAAAACTGCGTGGGTGTGTGAAAAACGATTCTCGATTTGGGTTTGATCTTTTTTGTTTCGAATGAAACGGAAAGTTAATTGAGTGGTCAGTTGAATTAACTAAGTTTTGCCGTAAATATGCGAAGTCTTTCGGTGTGCCTCATACAGAAAAGCATTAAAAACGTATTCCATTTAATCTTGCAACGTTATTTTGTACTAATTTCTTGTGTAGAAATAAATAAGGTGGTGGCCAGAGCCCTCTTTCCCAGTGGGCACTTTGGGCAAGTGACCAGGGCCCCGCGATCGATAAGGGCCCCTCTCAGATCAAATAGAAAGGCCTCAGTTGCTGTCAGATCACCAAAAGATAACCAATATTTTATTACCCAAAAACTTATATAACTCGAAGAAATTGAAGCTAAATTACTGACTACAATACCAACTTACTAGCTTTTACATGCGCGGCTACTCTCGCCAAAAAATTAGGCTTTCCGACTTCAGCATGCTTAGTTAAATTGAATTGTATAATGGTGTCGATTCTCGCAAGATTATCTAAACCTAAAACTAAATTTAACATCAGTCTCACATTTTCATTCTCTATAGAGAATGACAGGGATACACTGTTGTCAAATTTAAGTTTATAGACTACAGGCTCTTTGCAAAAAATGATGGGTCATTTGAACCACCAGAAGACCTATTTAGAAAGAAAGAAGGACATTAATTAATAAGATTCAGCACTATGCCGTCACTGGTAAGCTGTCCAACTGAGTGCAGGTGGGAATTCAAAAGTACAGATCGAGGGAGTACATTTTTTTGTATGGCATTCTTACCATCGACAAATCCATGAAAAATATTAAGTAACACGTAGTGTCGTACAAAAATAGTGCACCACAAAGTCGTGAAAATTTTGATTTTCCGACGATTTTCAGGCTAGGTTCGGTCATTTGATTCTGTACGGCATCGGTTTCGAACAGTTTCAATACCTCTTATAATTCATTATTTTGCAATGCCGTACAAAAATCATGCGAACTGGGGGAAAAATCGAGGGTTGCAACTCCCTCCCCTTCCATGGTCTGGGGGTGATTTGACACAACATAAAATTAAATGATTTTGAAAGTATTTTATGCATGGATAACAGTTAATCACATGCCGTACATTTTTGTTGGTCCAAACGTCTCTAGGGGAGAAAGAACTCTAGAAAAATCTACGTAACGAAATGTACTTCAGGGTGATATTCTGTACGATATTTTTTGTACGTTATTTAGATAGTTTATTTGTATTTAACGCAATCGTCTATAAAAAGTCGTACCGTACGTACGTATCGTAAATGCCGTACAAATGTGAAAGTTCATATTGATATAAAAGTAATAAAAATAATGAATTCATATTATTATACATTGCGAAGACGCTGCTGACGTTACAGCTAAAAAAATGTCATATTTTCAATTTGTACGTGAGACTTTGATTATGAAAACTCATATTCATGTTTCCGAAAATGATAGAGAAGCAAGAGAATGCTGAGCTCGATGATTCCGATGACGACTCTGTGGCTGATTCAGATAATGAATAATAGTTTCAAAGGGAAAACTTATTCTTTAAATTTTGTAACTATCATTAAATATACTTGTTATTTTTGATAAGAATCTAGTACTGTTTATTTACACGATTAAACAAATTATATCAATCTTTGAAGTGTATTACATCAAAAAGTATATGAAACTGTTGATACTGAGATTGATAATTTTCTATTTGGTGGGTATTTGGTTATAATGTACCCACTGTTTCACTTTAAATAGACGGTATAATGGTTTATACATATTATTCATTGTTCTCTTCAAAAATATATTAATGCCGTACAGTATCAGATGACCATAAAGTACCTCAGAGATGGCAGTGTCATTTTCATCAGGCAAAATATATGGTCTGCATTAAATTGTACGGCATATTTTTTTCCTTGCTTATTTACCTGAATAATATTTGAAGCAATGATGATATGTAGAAAATTGCTATTTTTGATTAAACTATGATTATTGAAACTTTTACAATAATTTTAAAATTTGCATTTTTTGCTTTTTTCTATATTTTTTTCAGAACAGTTTTTTTTAAACGGCAGTAATATAACAATTGAATTTAGCAATATCATGTTAAAAAAAAGTTGCCGTACATGATCAAATGACCTTAGAGCTTTAAATGAAATATATGATGAAATGAAGATAATTATTGCTATACATTCAAATATACAATAATTTTTGACGGTATTACTTTAATAGTATTTTCGTGTGCTACATAATATTTTGGAACCGGTGCCGTACATTTTCAAATCACCACCGGACCATGGAAGGGGAGGGGAGTTGCAATCCTCGATATTTCCCCCAGTTCGCATGATTTTTGTACGGCATTGCAAAATAATGAATTAGAAGAAGTATTGAAACTGTAAGAAACTGATGCCGTACATAATCAAATGACCAAATTTAGCCTGAAAATCATTGGAAAATCAAAAGTTTTCACGACTTTGTGGTGCACTTTTTTTGTACGGCACTACGTGTTCTCTTATTATTTTTCATGGATCTATCGATGGTAAGAATGCCATTCAAAAATATATGACCAAAATGTACTCCTTCTATCTGTACTTTTGAATTCTCACCTGCATTCAGTTGGACAGCTTACCAGTGACGGCATAGTGCTGAATCTTATTAATTAATGACCTTCTTTCTATCTTTCTAAATAGGTCTTCTAGTCATTCAGTGTGACTCGCTGCATTTCAAGTCATAATCCACATCAAAGTCATAGGGGCCCCATTATCTTAATATGGCCAGGGCCTCTAATAGGTTAATGACGGCCCTGGCGGTGGCGGTGGCTTCTTATCGGTAGCCTTATTGTTGTAAATGTCTCTATCAAAAATTCAAATGGACAAAACATAAGAAGAATAATTTGCATTTATTATAAAACATTAAGGTACTTACTATTTATATTTATTAATAAATATTAAACTTATTCACTATGTACTTATAATAATGTCATGATTGTATCCAGGACTCAGATAAAAAAACGCGTATTGACCCTGTAATAAATAACTAACGATATAGGGTTTTGTTAGTGAAAAAAATAAAGTTATTGATTTCATTGTTACTAACACGACAGCGTTTTTTAATCCTGGGCGTTAGCGAGGAATTCAAAGTACGTCATTTGAGCTTCAAAATACTGTTGCACCCGAGGTAGACACCCTACTTTTTTTCATTCTGTATAAGAAAATAAGTAAAAGGGAACATACATGTAATTGAATTACAAGACTCATTTTATTCTTATACTAGCTGGCCCAGCGAACTTCGTACCGCCTTAAAAATAGGGACAGGTGGTAGAAGAGAAATTTAGGGTTGTATGTATTTTTAATAGCACATTATAAAAAAAAATATAGCATCTAGCAGTTAAATGCTTAAAAAAAATCATAAAAATAAATATTGTCCAAAATAACATTCCTCCTAACCCATATGAGAACACTACGTTACAATACCCAAAAGTTTGAATTTTAGCGCGAAGGCGCAAAAGAAGGTTTCAGAACACTACGTATAGGTAGACAACCATTATCACTTAAGGATATGAAAAATAGATAGTAGCCGATTCTCAGACTCACGGAATATGCATATAAAATTTCATGAAAATCGGTCAGGCCGTTTCGGAGGAGTATGGTAACTAACATTGTGACATGAGAATTTAATACATGTTTAAGATAAACTCTAAGTATTACTTTTAAATTGTCTATCCTGTCATGTAGCGACAAAAAAATAGAAAAAGAGAAAAAAAAGAAAGGAGGAAGCAGGAAGAGGTTATAGAATATCTTTATATATATAATTCTTCTGTGAGTGTGTATGTCACTGAACTTCTCTTAAACGACTGGACCGATTTTGATGAAATTTTTTGTGTGTGTTCAAGGGGATCTAAGAATGGTTTAGATTCACAATTTTGTCCGCTGGACAACCCCTATTTTTTTAGGGCGGTACGAAGTTCGCTGGGTCAGCTAGTATACACATATATTTACAATATTAAAGTATTTCCAAAAAAAATATAAAAAATAGGGGTATGGTGTGAGTGTGTGTAGTGTGGGGTGTGAAGTGTGTAGTGGTGAAGTGGGCGTCGGTCGTCGTCTATCTTCAGAGGCGGCTTGAGCTGAAGGCCGTGCTGCAGGCAGATGATCGGCGCTGCTTGAAGACGTGTACCGAGTTAATTCGATCAAAACAAAAATAGAAATAGTTTGTATACGCAGTAGATATCAACCATTACACTTATTTACTTATCTGTTTTTAAGTTTCTTATAATTTATTATTATAGAATGATGAGAAACAAACCTTGTTATTGTTTACATGTGAATCCGTAGGAAGAAACCACGTGTATTTATTTTGTTCGTTTCGGTTTATATTACAGTGCTGTGCGTACTAACCGACGATCGTTAATATGTTTCCCTTTACATTGATGGCTCTGTGTTCGTTCAAACCGGAGTGCGTGCCATAAAAACAGTTATAGTTGCGCTCGATCGTGTTAATGGGAGGATCATCAACATAAACAGGCTCGTAATAAATGCACCGCTCAATAAACAAAAGAGCATCGCGGCTTTGTGAGATTTCGCATATGACCACTCATCGGTCCGTTGATTCACCTGATGTGCCTGAATCCTCATATGTTCCGGGAAATGCATCTTTTCATGCTTTGACTAAAACTTTGAAATCTGCCAGAAACTGGACGTGTAGCGTGGGAGTTAGCATTAGTTTTATGACTTTGGGAAGTACACGCTTGACGTGTTCTTTTTAAATGTCTCACAATATGACACGTAATCAAATATTGCATAATATTTAATCACGAAGTGTTTAATTTTATAAATTATGTAAATGTTATAATGAATTGAGGGGCTCATGATAAGTGTAGTGTGTTTTGTATAAATAAGTAGATATAAGTGTAAATATTAACATCGGCAATATGAAGCCAATTCTATTCACAGAAGAAAGCTATTTTTGAAATTAAAGTTCATACTATTATGAAGTAAGGATTGAACTACATTTGGAGTTTTCAATTTTATATTTTTTACACGACTGCCCAAGAAAAACATTGTGTAATTTATATATTCGGGCTTCATATAAGTATGTAAAATTCTTTAAACACATTTGCTCGTAAAGCGTCTCTTATTTCACTAATTTCAATATCATAATCTATCACATTACACACGCGTGCGGTAATGTAAAGTAAATCGCACGGCTTATTATGTTCCATCTAAAAACGAACGATACTTTTTTAAATCTTAGCAAAGAGTTTTTATGTCAGAAAGGTAGCCAACATTTTCTTAATAAAATTAACTTTGGGAGATAAAATATAATATATAAACAGTTAATTATTTCATTTCATTCATTTTGACAATAAATTACAATCATGTATCGGTAACAAATTCACAAAAATATTAATTTACTTCATCAGTAACACTGGCTGTTTTTTGTTCCTTTGCCTAAAAAAAGCGTTGATGCGCGCGCATCGCTAATCTGTGAAAAAAGTTATTTCTTTTTCTTTTCGCTGTATTGATTTTATTTGAAAATACTGTCAAGTAGTAACGAATTTATTAATTTCACACCGCCAGAAGTCGAAAAAGCCTACGCTATGCCTCTTGCCCAAAAAATCCACGGATAAATACTAACAGTCTAGCGTATCAAAATGTCATCTTATGGAAAAACAAACAAAGGCTTAAATTCTTTTTCAGAAAGTACGTACGTAGCTAGTATTATTTCTTCGCAAATGTGTTATAAAACGTCGTAAGACCTACATGCGCTTTGATAATTACAGCCTCTGCCTTCTTATAGCCCTCACCTACGGCTCGGGCTAACAATATCACCTCGGCTGTAATTTTCATCTTACCGCACTTATATCATAATGTACTATTATTCTACCATAAATTCGGTATCATTTGAATCCTTTCACCAACCCAGGCAACATAGGATACCTAAACTGTTAAAACTGAAATAACAGCACTGTCAAAATGACAATTATTTATGTCAATAAAAAGAGTCTTCTAATTATTACACTACAGGTATCATTTGAAAGGCCTTAATAAGTATTAATAACTAATTTTATGATTTTGTATTTTCTTAGAACTTGTTACAACACTTTGGTTTACTTTCGCTTTGCAGAAGATTCATTAAAAGAAATGATAAAATAAAAATGACTCCTAGCTACAATGCGAAGAGATGGCGCTGCCTTGCAGCCAAGAAATACTAGAGGAAATTCGACGCGGCCATTTAGGTTGCCGTAGCATAATTGGTTAGTGCATCCGCCCGGATAGCGGAAGGTGTTGGTTTGAATCCCGTCTGATGCCTGGACCGAGTTGAATTTTATCTAGTAAATAAAACACGTTTCAACGGGTAAGATGTACTTATTTTATTAGTTAATTGACGTTTCATGTCAGCGTCGTCAGACTAACGACATTCGTCAATAAACTAATAAAATAAGTATATCTTTCACGTTGAAACGTGTTTTATTAAATGAGTGATGTGGGTGAAAAACTAAGAAACAAAAAATTTATCTAGTAATTTTTTCTTCAAATTTATAAAAAATATTGTCATTACCTACCTCGGTCCTGTTTTGATATGCAAGGTGACGATTCCTGGCATTTGGCTACACACTTCTTGTGACAACAGAGTCCACAGTTCCGGCACTGCATCGCGTCTTTCAACCATATCTATAGAAAAATACATCTATATAAAATATCAATCTACTACATTACCTTGTTTTTGTTATTGAATTGGTCCTTCGAGCCGATCGTATATATTAATTTTGTGACTTATTGGCGTTAGGTATTTTAAATTTCAAATAAATAAATGTTTCTTACACAAGCACCAATTAACTTAGTCCCAAAGTAAGCACCGTTAGGCTTGTGTAATTGATACTATGGTAACGGATCTACATTTAGAAATACATATAAACATCCATGACTAAAGTACAAATGCTCGTATTTATCACAGAAACATTTGCCCCAACGGGTTTTGAATCCGGGACCTGTGAGTAGGCGACACCTTGAAAACCAGCGTACATACTGTTGCTGTTTGCGTTAATTTTCTTTATTAGTATCAACAAACTGTTCTTGGCGGTTCATATCCAAGTACAAGGTTTACTGCCGTAGATTTGTGAAACGAAGGCGTTCAGTTTTCGAAAGGACAATGTTAAAATTGGCCTAAGAACCAACACCAATTTGGCATTTATGATAATTCTTAGTCAATTTTTTGCGATAATTATCAGTATTTAGATTCTGACGGACACTTCCAGTTAAGTAAGCTAAATTAAAAAGTTAAAAAATAATCTGAGACAATAAATACCATTTTATGTGTATAATCTATGGCAGCGCTGCAAACAAAACACTCTTTCTTCCTAATGCTGGCACTTCACTTGGCTATTTGTATTTGCTATTTTAAAACGTGACATCAGTCTGTCCTTTTCATTCCTTATTAAGCATGACAAGGATAAACTGTTGTCAAGTGAAGGGCCGGCATAAAACTGTTACTCTGTGGTTGTGGTGCATGCAGTTTGCATTCGTAGTAATGTGTGGCATTCGTGCATTCCAAAGAGTAGTTTATTATACCGGAAAGTGCATTCTCGTTTCGGATTATCTGATGTGTGTGTTTATTTGCGATTGTTTTTCCTTTAATTTAACTATTTCGGCTATCTAATATGCCATCGATGTTACCAAAAAGCAGAGCCCTTATTACCAAGTGCTATTGAACCTGTGTCACAACATCCTGAGAGGATCATACTGCCAAATTATTCAAGAACACCTGATACACATTCACGCTGCATATTTACACAATATACATGTGATAACCAAATAAATACAATAAACAATATGATACCATTATGTGAAAAATTGTCAATATATAAGAAGCAAAACTACAGTTTTTATTTTATTCATGATTCCTACCTAACCAAGTTTTTCCTAATAGTTATTCTTTAAAATCGCACCGAATAAAATGAATTAGTTGTAATATTAATTCACTTCATACTGAGTTCACACTAAATTCATAGGTTGACCTATGTTTCATTGAATATTAAACATATCCTCAAAAAATTTTAGTTTTCCTAATAATTTAAGTTCTCAGAAGTGTCCGTCAATAATCTTTGTTTTTACAGTCATTTACTTACGATTTTGAACCTAGAAAATAATATTTCATGATTGTTGGTTCTTAGGCTAACTATGTATGGACGCTGAACAATGTCCTTTATAAAAGTTGCTGCGATGCTGACGTGATTATAAAGAACGCTATAAAAATCGTTTTTTTTGATGATTATTTACTGTAAAATATTGATTTCAAATAATTTAAATCACCGCAATTTGTATATTTAACGTTTACTAATGTATGCTCTTACAGATCAACAGTAGCTCTAGACGTGAATTAACTGTAAAGTTTGATATTACTTAAATGCTGTCACCCCTTTTTGCAATACCGATAGATTATAATTTATATATATTATAATTACACGTGACTTAATGGAGTATTAAAATTAATATAAGTCTTTGAGAAAAGTTTATTTGATTATTTTTATTTCGGTGTAAAATTAATAAAATATAAAATTAATATGTCTTTGAGAAAAGTTGTATTCGGATACCTATTTATTCTAAGATAAGTACAATTAAGTCCAAGACAGTTTATATATATGTACTAATAATATAGGTCTGACTGTTACATAATCAACGGCGGTTTCAATTTCAAACTGTATTTACTAACATAGACTTGACTGTACAAACTATATTTTTCTCTTAAAAATAAATAAGTCTTGTAAAACTTACCTTCTTATTACAGAAGTCGCACTGCGTAGATCTGTGGAAGTGGGTCCGTACGAAATCATGTGCCGCTCTGGTCGGTTTTGGAGGCTTGGGGGCAGTATCTCGAGATTGTCGGGGACTTCTAGACGCGTTAGAGTTTGCACTCCCGCTAATAATTCCTGCACCCTCCCATTCCCACCAAACGAGTGCGTCGCCAAAACAAAGGCATGGTTCAAATCCAGCGTGCGATGATAGCTTGTGGCTCTTGCTGTGTAAGAGAGAGGTTTCGTTTAAAACAATATATGTTATATTTAAATGAGAAAAGTAACGAACCAAGTGTGGGTCCTTGAGGGATACCTTTAGTGAATAAATGTTTGCAAGTAATTTTGTTGGTTATATAAATAACTATACCTGAAAACATATTGGTAAATAATTATAAAATTAGTTACCAATATGTTTTCAGGTGGAAATGACAAATATGTATTAAGTTATAAACAATGAGAGAAGATATTTAGTTAAAAACAACTTTCAGTATTGCAGATGTTTGAGTTAAACACGCAACAGATCGGTGGTTATAAAGAAACTTCTTAAAGATTTACATAGCAGATAACTCAAACTCACCTGAACTTGATATCTACGTCCGGAGGTAGGAATTGATACCTCTTCATGTGATGCGGAACTGTCGAATCCTGACACTCCGCAAGCAATGCAGTTAAGGGTATATTTAAATAGCCTAATAAAACCTCTTCTTTCTCACCGGGTACCGTAGCCCACACGTTCATATTCAAATACTTGTGATTTTCATTCAACTTAAACTCTGTTTCTTCGTCAAAAGGTATGATAGGTTTTAATTGTAAATTCTTAGTCCAAAACATTTGACATATCTCTACGTGTTCACTCTGTCTTGGTCCGCCTGTTTCGAATACATGGTCCTCTTCGTCTAACATGTCACCTTTCTCGTTTTTACATTCTGATGAGTCGGTTCTGATGATTGGTATATCCTGGTGTTTGACAGATTTGTTGACAGCTGAGGCCTGTTTAAGAGGTGTGCTCGCACCAGAAGCTGGAGGGGTACTGCCAGCTGAGCTGTCGGAAGACTTGTTTTCTACGGAACACCTGCGTTTGCGCAGCAAGTTACCGCCAGGTGTGGATGGTTCCGTAGCCTTTGAGGCTTGGCGTGTAGGTTCCTGTTTCGGTTTAGGCGGCGACTCAGCTTCAGGTTGCGGTTCGGGCACCTTTGATGGAGAATCCGATTCCTAAGATAGGTATCGAAAGCACATTAATTAGATTAAATATAAATCGTGAACTTTGAGCATATTATTGTAACCATAAAGAAAACTGCATCTGTTTACTACGGTTGGACATGCTCGTTTTACGTGACCAAAGGATTCTTCCTAATTTCTTGATTTTATAAAGACCTAAGATAGTGTACTCATATACAAAGAGATGCTATTTCAAACTTGCTTCAAAATATCATAGAAGTGAGTGAAGATGAGTTAGTACGAGTAGAAATGGAGCTGACTGAAAATAACTAGAGGAAATAAATGAGCACCGCGTTATCATCCAGTATCTATGTCGTGACTGTATGTGGCACACGTGACCTGTAGATTGGTTCTGAAGACAGCCTAGATCTGTGTCTATGACTGTATTGCGCAGCGCACATCAGGAGAGGCGCGGTGAAGATACTACGCGCGGCGACTCCAAGCGCGGCCAAGAGCCATGACGCGGCGCGCAATTCTCTCTCATTTTTGGAGTTTATAAAGGCATATGACAGTGTCCCTGTATACAAAAAGCAAAGAGCCATGGAGCGGCGCACGGTGACTTTGAGCGAAGACTAGAATAGTCACGCGGCGGCTCTCGTGGCTGTTACACAGCGCTGACTGGCTGTCACCGCTTGCTGTTTTTTATGTTTGCCATAAAATACTCGTATTTAAACTTTAGATATAGGAATTAGGGTTTAACCAAAACGGTTAACTTCTCAGTATCTTCGCCGCAATTCTATTTGGGGCCCTAACTCCTATAGGGATCGCCTTGGCTATTGCTATAGCTTCTGATTGCATTTTGTTATTTCTGACCACCGAAGGGTTCTCAAATGCCTCGCGCTATTTTTGCATTGGTAATAACAATATTAAAGAAAACGAGCGCGAGGTATTTGAAAGCATTCGGCGGCCAGAAACACCCAAATGAAATCATAAGCTACAGCAATAGCCAAACCAATCCCGATAGGCGGTAGGCTCCCTGGCATACCAGCATACGCTTTTAGATTAAAACAAAAAAGGGAGGTAAGGTACGCTCATACTAGCATCAAATAAAATATGATCCGACTCAACTACATAAGCAACTCTCACACACGCACACGTCTGTATATTTTATCTCACACACTTAGGCCCGTATTACAGAATGACAACTAAGTGTTGATCTTTATTTGAGTACAGTTAGAAAGGGATGTCGATATCTGCTATATATAGCGATATCAGTTTCTAACTATGCTCAACACTAGATCAATCACTGAGAATCTTTCTATAATACGGTCCTTAGTCTGTACATTCAATCGAGCGAGCGAGACAGAACGGTACCCCTAGCACGAACCATTATCGAATTCGAATGGAAATCGAGTCCGAAATATCATTGTCAAATGTGTATTGATTTTTAGTTCTGTTTACGCACTTTGTGCCGCTGCTGTGCAAGTTTCCATACAAAATTTGACATTGACATTTCGGTTTGCAAACTATTCGAAATTGATATTGATTCGTGCTAGGGGTACTGTACGCTTCAACGCAGCGCGAGCGAAGCGTATTGTTGACCTTTTCTTGTTAATAAAATGGCTATTACGTAGATACAAAACATTCACGACAAACCGTGATTTTAAAGAAAAAAATTTTTGCGAATGAAAAGTGTTGCCGAGACATTTATTCTTTGACTTTGAATTATTTGTGTTCTATATAAAAGCATCGAAGGCATTGTTTTCTCTTATAACATAATATTGTTATATTGAGTGCAAATGCAGCGTGTTTGAATGTCCAATTTTGACTATAGCGAATTATGGTTATGCACCACAATTTAAGCGGATCACTATGAGCCGCGAGTGCCGTATCTTCCTTCTTTTTGTTTTAATCTAAGGTGCGTAACCTTAGGCGATAAGTGACCTGTAGATTGGTCCTGGAAGCGGCGGCACGCATGCTCTGCAGCCGCACGCCCTCCATGACCTCGGATACGCGGCGGAAGGTGAAGTTGGTCCGCACGCGACGTGTCTCCGTTGTGGACTCGTCTCGTCGCACGACGGAACTAGCGCCGCCGCGGCGGACTCGGACCGTGACTGCGCGCCTGTCTACACAGCGGAGTAGTTTGCCCACCTGCACGAAAGATTCAGATGATCTGGATTACTTAAATTGTAATGAAATTAGATGATTGATAACTGATCAATTTGGCAGCGTTTCGTGAACACGAAAAATATTAAAATCCTATATACTCGTATATTGTTTTGATTGTAAGGTGAGCAAGGCACCACCGTCTACTAGAACTACGCTCAAGCTCTGGCAACAGACCAGGCCTAATGGGCCCTTTACAAATGGCAGAACTATGTCCAGAATCCAATTCTACTCACCTGAAAGGACTGTGCTATAGCAGTGTGGATATTTTAAGCTGAACACGATAATCTTTTTCAACTTCTTTTTGGACCTATATAGGCCTTGCGTACGGTTGGAATATGGAGATTGGGCCAAGATCCACCACGCTGGCTCAGTGCGGATTCATGGGTGCTTACGATTGGAGAAGCAGCCGGAACTAAAGGCTTAATGTGCCTTCCAAAGCATGGGGGAGCTCGAAATAATATGTCACCCATGGGATGTTGCTTAACTACCACAATAGCAGGCCTGGATAGCAGGCCCATACATGATAATGAATCAAATAATACTAACCTGCGCCACATTATTGATAGGTTTGTTGTCTATGGCCAGCACTACGTCGTCTCTCCGCAAGTCGGCTCTATACGCGGGAGACATCGGCACCACCGTGTCCACAAGTACTACGCCCACGCCCTGACAGCAGACCAGGCCTAACGGGCCCGTTACAGCCGGCAGAACTATGTCTAGCACTAGAATGCCTCGACGAAGCGACACCTGGCGGGGATAGGTTTGTTTCATTGATACGCTACTTATATACTCTTTAGGCAATGTTTTTTCTCTATGCTGAGAATGGAATCCACTTTACAGAAGACACGGTGAGTGACACTGCAAGGCTCTAATAGGGCTTGGTTTATATCCCGGCTGGCAAGATGAAGATGGTTGGAGCGGCGGAAAGCCTTTTTTGCCTAAAAGTTGGATCGAGTTGAAAGCTTTCTAGGAAAATAAGTATTTTTTTATTATTTAGATATAAATACTCGTATATAATTCAGAACAAAGAAAGCAAAGTATCTAAAGTTTGGTGTTTTTTTCATGATTCCGTGAGTCTGCCGTTGGGTGTGGGCCGGTCATCGCCATTTCCACTACTGGGATTCGATTTAGAGATTAGACTATTGAATTCCGGTACAAAATGTTTATTAATACAGTACCCATCCATGCGAGTCGACTGCCAACGCCGCTCTTACAGTGCAGTTGGCGCCAGACCACTGCAGACGTGTTACCTCTACGAGGCGCACCGTCAGTCTGCCGTTTGGCGTCGGTCCGTCATCGCCATCCCCACTACCGGGCTCTGACTTGGGGAAGAACGGCTTGTAACTGAAAAAAAAACGTACGGGTAATTTTTTAACTTTATTTTAGCTTTGATCTGCTTGATTATAATTAATGAATCTAAAGAAATTTCTACTGGAAAAACTTTGGAATATTTTTTGTTTGTTGTTCCTTACTCTTTTTTAATTTTCTGTGAAGCATGACAAGGATATATCGCTGTCAAACTTAGTTTTACATCAATTTTCCCATCCCATCTATTATCCCATGTCGCCATCCCATCTATCTTCCTAGGAAACTTTTAATTTTAGCAACTGTTTCGGCGACAATTTCTGATCCCAGGTCTAACTTACTATATCTTGTAATTAGGCAGCGTCAGCCTCTGTGCGACCGCTTGTCGGATATGCGCTGCGACCAGCGAGGTCAGTCTCGGTTTCAGTTGGCGGCCTTGGAAGCGGCCTTGAACTTGTAGCTCTAACTTTAGGTCTGTCTTACCATATCTTGTAACTACGTGATCTACTAATCGTATCTTGTAGTTGGGCAGTATATGCCTCTGTGCGACTGCCCATTGGATACGCACTGCAAACAGCGAGGCCAGTCGTTGCTTGAGCTGGCGGCCTTGGAAGCGGCCTCGTACTCGCATCTCTAACTTTCAACTCCCGGGTCTGTCTTACCATATCTTGTAACTACATGATCCACTTACCGTAACTTGTAGTTGGGCAGGATATGCCTCTGTGCAATTGCCCATCGGATATGCGCTGCAACCAGCGAGGCCAGTCGTGGCTTGAGCTGGCGGCCTTGGAAGCAGCCTCATACTCGCATCTCTAACTTTCAACTCCCGGGTCTGTCTTAACATATATTGTAACTACATATTACACTTACCGTATCTTGTAGTTGGGCAGCGTATGCCTCTGTGCGACCGCCCATCGGATATGCGTTGCAGCCAGCGAGGCCAGTCGTGGCTTGAGCTGGCGGTCTTGGAAGCGGCCTCGTACTCGCATCTCTAACTTTCAACTCCCAGGTCTATCTTACCATATCTTGTAACTACATGTTCCACTCACCGTATCTTGTAGTTGGGCAGCGTATGCCTCTGTGCAACCGCTCGTCGGATATGCGCTGCAACCAGTGAGGCCAGTCGCGGCTTCAATTGGCGGCCTTGGAAGCGGCCTCGCACTCGCAGCTCCAGTTTTGGTGGCGCCTCGAAAGCTAACGCCCAGTGGGTGTAGGGGTTGCGGCGGAACATTACTCGTACGCTCCCGCTTATACTTTCCACTGGAAATTGAAAGTTATCCATCCTCAAAATATATTCAAATCAATAGAAATATTAAAAACTTGTACTAATTATCAGGGCCGTAGCCAGAGTTGTATTGAAGATAGGGCAGTGGTAATTACTGGTAGGGCATAAGCAGGGGTAAGCAGCCCTTCACAGCCTGCCGCCGCGTCTATAAGGTAGGGCAATGGTATTTTAAGGTATGACATTGCCCCATAATTCCTCTCCCTAGCAATGACCCTGCTAATTATATAAAATGATAAAATGAACATGTCAAACCTGTGATTGATATGTTGGCTATCTTGCCGAGCAGCATGACTGCGTCCACGTCTATCCTGAAGTTGCCGTCATAGGCGAGGTCCAGGCGGAGGTCCAACGACCTGAGCCTTGCGCCGTCTTCTTCTAACTCCCCACTCAGTAGCCGAAGATTCGTGATTATCGGAAACTCAGAGCCCACTTCCAGGGAACGGAGCTGGAGTGAGAAAGAAAGAACATAAATTATTTTCCATTTATTGTCCTACATCCGTATGTGGGTGACTCAAAATGTGTTATCTTGGGCTCTTTCATGCTTCGGAAGGCGCGTTAAGCCAAAGATCCCGGCTGCATCTGCAGTTGTTGGCACACAATCAATCTACACAGAGCCCGCGTGGTGGGTATATATATATATATGTGGGTATTTGACCAAATCTCCGTATTCCATTAATAGGAAATATCTTAGCTGTGGGGATATTAATGGGCTGGTAATAATGAAGATATAGAATTCTCATGCGATTTCTAATGCTATCTTCTTCTCTGCCCCAAGAGATATGGTATAAGTTGATTGTCTCATAAGGCGGTATACTTAGAATTAATGTCTCACGCTATGTCTTATGACCCATCTTTCCAACAAAAATCATGATGTATATTGTCTGTTCGTAGCAGGCTGTATCAATACTTACAGTTAGTGACTCAAAGATCTTTCCGGATGAGGTCTTGGCGAGTAGCTCAGCAAGCTCAGTGGCCATGCGCCTGCGCAACCAGCGCGTATCGGCTGTGCTTTGTTGGAATATGAACTGCAGCATGGCGTTTAGGGAGCCCTCTGGTGTACTCCCAGCTCCACGGGTCAACTCATTCAGTATTTCCTGTAGATTAACAAGCGTAAAGCTTAAAACTAATTTCAAAGTAAATTCCAAATATAAGAATATCTGAATCATTCTGAAAGATTATATTTTTGACTCATTCTTAAGTTAATTCGATACCTCGGAAGAATGTGCTAGCCGTAATTGGTCAAGTGGGTAAAATCGACTGATCCTTTTGAAATGGAATTTTCTTTTCAGTATTAAAATTCATCATAATGGATAGTAAGAATACAGGTATAATATGTATTTATTTGAAGCTCCTTGGTATTTAGTGTATGTATATACTTAGAGCATGCTTACATTGAGCCACTTATCGGGGCCTCTAAACTTTTCTCGACAGGCCGCCACTAAGCCACTCGATTTCTCTCGGTTTGATTGGCTGGTGGCTTGACTGAGTCACTAGTGGTTGCGTTTAGAGGCCGCGATTAGTGGCTCAATGTGCGCTTGCTCTTAAAGACCAAATCGAATAAGATGGAGCGCGAAAATTAATAAGCGAGACATGTCAATCATCACGAGTATCAACATATTTCTAAGTAATGTTGAAGACCGGAAAGTTGTAAAACATTTGAGCTGGCAGCAGATTTTGCATTCGATGACGAAGATGATTCGAATGATGCGACAGAAAAATGAGGAAAGTAAACCAAAGATTTTACGTAAGATATCTATTGCAAGTGATCTTAGTAAGACATGATTGGGCGGGATAAGAAAAGAAAAGCAATACTCCTCTGGAGGATAATGCTGTACCACTGTGTGTTGCCAGTAATGAACTTCGAAGTGAAACATAAAACTTACTATGGGCCACAGAAGGGAATGGTGAAAGGATGATGATCGGTATATTCCCGTACGATAGAATCAGAAATGGAGAACTAAAGTGAAATAATAACACTCGCAGGATTGCTCAGCTATAATTTCAATAGGCTGGTACACCTAGCGAGAATAACCGTTGGTCGTTGGGGTGAAAAGACCCTCGAATGGCGACCACGCGCCGGACGACGCGACGCTCTGGTAAAGGTGAGAAATGCCACTGTGTGGATATCTTTGGGATAGGCCTATTCTTAGGAAAAGGCGTTGTATAGCTTGATGATTATGCATCAGATAGAGAATGCACCTAATGATGTTGTTATTACGGCCAGTATCTCTCAATCGATTATTAAAAAAATAAAACTGCTTTGAAACATCCTTTGTATGAAAATTTTCAATGTCCCATTACCCACAAAAGTAATTGAAAACATCAAAGAGTTACATTATTCAAGGTTACTCAGCCGGCTCAAATTAAACAGCTCGCACATTATCTAATGAATGACAGTAGGATTATTTATATTTGATTACTCGTAGAATTTGGGGCAAATGTAATTAAAAGGCTTTATTTAGGACAGGCCCGTCCGCCCTTACAGAATGATGGACGTACGGAATTGTGTTTACGCAGGACGAAACCTGAAAATGGTGAGCAAAACTTGTAATAAGAACGCCACAAAGAGATACATTATCTACGGTAATCGGTTTTACCAAGACAATTGACACTCTCTGAGGGAGCGCTCAATCTTTCATTGGGGGCATGTGACGTAATAGCTATTATTTTGTGCTAGAAATCTGTGATAACAATACTTTGTTGTAGGAAAATAGCTTTCCTTTTATGAAAAAAAGGAAGTAAATGGCTATTGAAAAGACATTGTTATTACGATGAAATGTTTATTTATATATATGAATATTAATTTCATGTTTTCAATTTGATTTATTAAACCACGTTTTAAAGTTTGTGTATTAAGTTTGTGAATACATGTGTTTTAGTAATGACGGAGGAAACCTCCATTTATACGCAAATACGCAAGGACCACCCACTTTCGCCAAGATCATTAAAATTACCTTCTATCTTCTCTTCGTCAAAAAGTTTTAACTTACCGGAGGCAACGTGAGTGGCGTACAAACTTCTTCCTGCTCTGGCATCTTCTTCTCGAATGGTCTAAGAAAATACAACAGCAATCCCAAAGGCACTGCCAGGGCAGAAACTGCACCCAGCAGTGCTGCCAGCAAAAGCCATGTCCAGTCAGGCATACTTAATTCTAGCTTGATTAACTGTAACAATAAAAAAAATGCTGTACAGTCCATTGCATCCATCATCAGCATTAGCCTATTAATATCTTGGATAGAGATAAGACCGTGACCCACCACGCGGGCTCAGTTCGGCCTGGTGGGTGCTAACGACTGAGATGCAGCTGGGACCAGCGACTTAACGGGCCTGCAGATGCATGGTGGAGCTCGAGATAATAAGTATTTGGTCACCCATCCAATGACCGACCATTGCGAAAAATTGCTTTACTTCCACGATCGCAGGCTGAACGCGCTTACCGCCACCGCCATGCGCCACCTGCGCTATTCACCATTACATTCGTTTTCCTATAAATGGGTTATGGTAGCCATACACACTACGAGAAATCGTTACGATCAGACTGTACAGTTCGAACGGAACAGTTTATCGTACGTGGCGTACGTATAGGAAACTGTGCAGTTTTATAACATACACGCTACGATTTATAGGTACCGTACGAACTGTACAGTCTAATCGTAACGATTTCTCGTAATGTGTATGGCCACTTTTACGTGACTGTGTTTATCAATACCTACTATACATTTAAGTGGACTATACATTTAAGACTTGACAATGGGACTTGTGGTTGTGGGCCTCGAAATTGTTAAACGCAGTAGTATGCAGTACTATTATGGCTTCGAAATTGCTTACAAATGCATTTCTTTCTAAAACTAATTATCCTTCTGGCTGCTGAAGTGAGGAAGCAAATATTTTGAAATATATCTGAGATCTAAAGTTCCATCTGCTGCCAGCAGCGCAGCGCAGTCAACGCAAAAAACTAGCAGAAAAACTTCGAAATAGGTACCTATTTCTCACGTGGAATCTGTGAAATGTAACAATATCATGATCTTCTTCTAAAGTAAATAAGCATATTACACATTAACTTGTCAATACATAAATAATAACTCCAGGTCACATTAAATATTCATAGCATGAAATGTGAATAGTGATTCGGGGTTAAAAGCGTCGCGTGTAAATTATAAAACCTAACCAAATATTGGAGGGCTAGCTGCCATACCGTCATGCAACAAAATTATGTGTCATAATATTGGTGCAGTCAAAGAATAATAACTAAAGGGTGCAGTAGAATAGTAATGTCAATAGAAAACAAATGAGGAGCGATGCAATTTCACTATTAAAGGTACAAGTCTGAACTGAACCGCAGACCACAGGCCGCAGCTGCAGACTACAGGCGACACTACTAGTTTCTATGAATCTCTATGAAATTGATTCCGAGCGCAGCGGCATGCCGCGGCTGCACAATGCATATAATGCACGGTCAGCCGCAGGCGCTAACCGCAGTGTCGCCTGCAGTCCATTGCGGAATTTACCTTAATAATTAGTTTTCATAACATCATATCAGCCTATTCATGTCCCCACTGCAGGGGCACAGGCCTTCCCCAATGGACGGAATAGGGAGATTGGGACATGAATCACCACGCGGGCCCAATGCGAATTGATGGGTGCTTACGACTGCAGATGCAGCCGAGACCTACGGCTTAAATGCTGATAAGTTTCTTTCGCCGATTCTTCTTATCAGTTATTAGATGAAAGTTGTTTTTCTAAAAAAACAATTGGAGATTCAAAAAAGCTTTTAAGAAGTCAATTTAAATAAAGTGTATTTTCATTTCATTTCAACGTGCCTTCCGAAGCACGGGGGAGCTCGAAATAGTAAGTCACCCATCCAATGACCGACCACTGCGAAAGATGCTTAACACCAACGATCGCAGAACTGACAAAACATTGCGTCATCGAGCTTCTCAATTAGTTTTGGGACTAAGTAATTAGTAATCTAGTAAGTATATTTTTAACTAGCGGCCTCTAGCTGCGCGAGGACTTAGTTATTTGCACATACTTTTTTACCCCAAAAGGGGGTTTATTTCTAAAAATACATTATTAGTACACCTCTTCACAATCTATAGAGCATACATGTTAAATTTCAAGTCTCTTACTTCAAAAACATAGGACTTTCATATAAACTTCCAATCCCCGTATTACCCCCTTAGTTAGTTTCTTGAAACTGTGTAGCCTTTAAGTTGACCCGACTTCTTAATAATATTCGTGCCATATTTGAAGTAAATCCATGCAGTACTTTTTGAGTTTATCCCGGACATAGATACAGACAAACAGACAAAAATTCTAAAAACTATATTTTTCGCTTCGGTATCGATTGTAGGTCACACCCCAAATATTCTTTTAAAAATTATTTAATGTACAGTTTTGACTTTCCTACCATTTTATTATATGTATAGATACATACGAAATTTTGACCCAAACCTAACATTTTCAACCTACCTAGCAACTTCCAATTAACGTTTTCAATATCAGACATAAAATATGGGGAGGAGAGGAGAGAAGGGAATAAAAGAGGGTGCGTTGGGGTGGCATGTAGGATACAAGTTCTGATGTTTACTCTCCAAATGTAGTTGAAGTTAATTGATTGAGAGGGCTCACAACTATTAATACTATAAACCTGACAGTCAGTCAGTCGCAGCTGTCGTAGATACATTATTAATCAAATTCTGTAAACCCAGTGATACCCAGGGCTGAGGTCAAGGGTTAGGATAGATGACGCGCTATGGCGGCTTTTTCCCATCAGGGAGGCCGAGGATAATATATACAATATTATTACTATCAAATCATATAATATGTACCTAGATAATTAGACAGTTCATCAAATTGACTTTTTTAGAAATAAAAACTCTAGCATAATTCGCAAATAAAATAATAATATTTGTTATTTCTTCTTTCGAATGTTTGATACACATTGCCCGGGGCCCCCAATAGGTCAAAGACGGCAATGTATACAACGATGCAACCCTACCATAATAATCAGGTACAAAAAACTCACAAATTGTACCAACGGGCATCGCGCATAATTTCACTGCTTGTTATTCAGTCTCCGTCTCGTAAACACGGTCGAGATATGATGTTTTATGCAGAGTCACAAAAGATAGTGTCAGTGGAATGTACAGCTCAGACATAAAGGGACTGTATCAAGGTGTGTTACCATTGTGCTCCCGTGTAACAAAGAAAGCAGAGCAGTGTAACAGCGAAAATATATAGCTTACCAATGCATACAAAACAAGCAACATTATTTTAAAGTTCATGCAGAGGATGATATGAGGATATTGGGAGTTCCCTTATTTAGAACTGACATTAAAAAAAAATTCATCGAACCGTATGGGTTTGTATGGATAGGTCTTCAAAAATTATATTGAGTTTGCTAATATATATTTTTTCTAAACTGAATAGTTTACGCGAGAGACACATCCAAAGTGGTAAAATGGGTCCCCCCCCCTGTAACTTATAAAATTATCGAATGATAAAACAAAAAAAAATATATGATGTACATTACCATGCAAACTTCCACTGAAAATTGGTTTGAACGAGATCTAATAAGTATTTTTTTAATAATTAATTAATTTGAAAGAATACGCTATTATTAAAACATCGATCAAAGTTACAACGAGCTACAAGTACTTTTTTATATTATGTTACTTGCTGCTACGGAACCCTTCATGGGCGAGTCCGACTCGCACTTGGCCGCTTTTTTTTATATTAAACCTGATAGACGAAAAAAAAAAGTTAGTGATCATCCCTATTAAGCTTAGTTACATATATTTTAGTTTACATATAGCTTCATTATAACTTAGCTCTTAGATAAAACGAGATTCTGAAAATGTTCACCGTACTTATCCATTATTTGAGGGGTGCTCATGATTATATTAGAAGAGGGTCCGAGGGATCGCTTTTGTTTGACAGGTTTGAGGTCACTTGGAATATATTAAGAAATTGCTTAAGACAGGAGTCTGCACTTATCTGGATTAAAATCACGACACCCACGAATTAGGTTAAGGTGGAACCTTGATCACGACGGAATATTTTTTAAGGATGGTGCCGACAGACGGTATAATATGTATAAGCAATTAATTCAAAGAGACAGTGAAAAAAAATAGTTTTACTTATATCATGGTATGGAGCAATTATATGAAAAATTGTATCGGATCTAATCACCGAGTAGAAAACTGTTCTGTGGACCTAATCCATACGTACTAAGTACAATGGCATGGCCAAAGCCATGGCTTAGAAATCTTGGATGCAGGGTCGGATCTACCATATGGCTATTTGGGCTTCAGCTCATGGCCCCGTGGATTCTAGGGGCCTACAGCTAAGTCAAGTCAAAGTCAAAAACAGACGATAATGCGAAAGAATCCAAAATTTTAGTAAATTAAACAGATCGGAAATTCAGACATGCAAAAATCGCTGAATTTCCACAGCAGATATAATATTTTCATAGTTGTCTAATAGATGTCTAAAGCTGAACTAGTGATTCACTAAAGACAGAAAATTTAAATATTTTTCTTTAAAGCAGTACAATAAATGATTAGAAGTACATTCAATGTAGAAAAAATACATTGTTGAATATAACCCCATTTATATTATCTCTAGAATATGAGATTTCTGGACTTTGCAGAAAGATTGCTTTGTAATTTGTCAATTTATTAGCGGTAGTATAACACTAAGGCATAACATATTATAATATAAATTAAATATTTTACTGCCTCATTTTTTTCTATACTTTGAGTAATTAGGTGGATTTAGGAGCTAAATAGTATTAGCCTAGGGCCCCCTAAATTCACGGTCCGGGTCTGCTTGCATGTTCAAATCTCATGGTCGGTCACATGCCTCACTGTTCACACACTCAATCGTCTAAGACTTTCCCCTTTTTTATTTAAACATTCTTTTACTTGTGTCTCTCTTGCCAAATTTTATAATTGAAGGTCAACAAAAACTAAGTACCTACCTTTTTGATTCCCTTGCGAGTGCCAAATATGCATAATCGGGCGTATGTTTTTGATTGCGTTGACTTAGAAGGTGATGTCTTCATGACTTCTTGAGAAGACCACTTGTCGATTGACGGACAGACAACAAAGTTATCCTATATGGGGCTCCAGTTCTTTTTAGGGTTCCGTCCCTCAATCGGAAAAACATAACCCTTAGAGGATCACCCAGATCAGTTTAAAAATCATTTAAGAAAATAGATGAAAATTGACCTTTCCCCCCAACTTTTATTTTTAGACTTACTGCGTTCAAAAAGTAAAAGTTGGTATGAAGGTCTTTGCTTGTGTATTACAGGAAAACCTATATGAAGTTTATACATAGTATGCCTGGTTCTGGTTTCTTTCCCGTCCAATATGAACACTGTCTTATACATACTAAGTGAGTAAGTTCTTGTCAGTTTATATTCTATCTACGTAATTTTACTCTGAAAAGCTTAAACTACTTTGTACGAAACCCCTCGGTGGGCAAGTCCGACTCGCACTTGTCCTGTTTTTTCTTCAGGTTCGGAATACTAAAAAGCAATAGACAGAATTATAACACATTACCTAGTATTTAAATAAAACATCCTATCAGAGCCACATCTCACTCAACGACAAGCTTACAATATTTATTAACATGGATACGTTTCCATCTACTGCATGTTTTTCTTCAGCACTCATCAGTAACGGGCGAAATTGTATTATTTTCAGTTGGTGCTGTCAATAATTTAAATCGTAGATGCAAGCCGAGAAAATATGTTAATTCGCAAAACGAATAATAATAATAACCGACTTTATAGAGAGGATGGTTCATGATATTCGGCTCGGCAAAAAACAATGTACCTACTTAGTAAGATAGTGCGACCCAATTTCAACCGATAACTAAATTGAGAATTCATTTGAAGGTAGAATTTTGAATAAGAATAATTTCACGTTTACGTTACATAAGTAAATAAATGTCATCTAACTACCTAATTATCTTAAATAAAACTTTTTGTGGCCAGAGGACATTAATCATTTCTTTAAATTAGGAAATATTTTGTTAAAACACATCTGACAAAATAAACACTTAAATAAAAAATAAAACATATTTCCATCGCATGCATACTATAATAGGCATAGTTTAAAAGAGTTAAATCATATAAAAATTTCACAAATTCTACCTACACAATTTTTCCAAAATATTTAATAAAGAAAATCTTAAGAATTTAACCAGCAGCATCAAACGTCAAAGTAAATATAGCGACTTGTCCCGTAACATTCTAAAATCATTAAACTTTGAGTATTTCTTCAGAAATATTTACGAGTACTTTTTCTTCCTTGCTCTGCCAATGTTCATTGTTATCGGCAACTTGTAAATTAGTTCTGATAAACTATCCGGTGTAAGTACCGACGGATTGAGTGAGTACTTCTATTATCTTTCATATTGGGTATTATTACATTTTCATATTATGTAAATCGTTCCGAGAGGCAAGTCAACATTTGTTTTCTCACAAAATTGATATAGTTCCAGAAATATTGGCATTGTCAGCAAAAGGGCTAGAAAGCTGACAACCATCAATTCAAGTTACAATTATTTGCTATTTAACATAAGCCCAAACGCCAAATCGTCGTCAATATGTGTAAATGCGTCGTTAAGCATGGACTAGTATGAACATCGGTGTCGATTCAGGCATGATTCTCTAAACTTAAAACTAATTTAACATCAGTCTCTCCTTTTCATTCTGTATAGAGAATGGCAAGGATACACTGTTGTCAAATTTAGGTTCAGGTTTAGATAACCATACCAAAATCCACCCCATTACCTACGTCCTAAGTTGTTGCTTGTCATATAGCTGTTTAAGGAATAAAATAATACTAAATCAAGTAAGAGTTATTACGAACTTAACTTAATCTTAATACTTAGTAGTTTTACTAAATTGGTTTGATATGATATATGTAGGCAAGTGCATAGTTAAATAGAAGCAGATTGGATTGAAAATAAAAGAAAATCATACTATTTATGAAAGGATAAGGACATAAATAAAACCTTAAAATAGGTGTTCATAAATAAGATTGAGAGCAGAAATTGCAGTGCACAACTAAAGAATACAAAGTGTTTAGTTAGCACAAAAACAATAGCACACTTCGCCCGTCATGTGCTCAAAACTCACCTGCTAACGTAGAATCTTCTAAAAAACTTTAATTAAATTAATTTAATATAATCGATATACACAACAACAATTGACGTAAAACCACCAACTTCCTAAAATCCTATTACAAAATCGTATATTTAGTAAATAAGCAGGGGCTTATGGGTGCTAAGTCATTTTAAACGCGCGCCGGGTCGCCGGCGGCGTATCACGTCCTTACATCACTGACACACAGGACTTATTATTTTGATAAAACACCCACACTCTTTGCTGAGCATGCGCGGCCCGCTTCCAATTGGACCAAATTTATGAAAGGTCCCATATTGAGAGGGTACCCGATCAACAGCTGCTAGCCGGCCAATCGATTAATTGTTATTTAATGTTAGCACAGAACGATTCACTACAGCATTTAGATTAAACATTCAGATTTCATAATCCTTATTTAGATTTAGGTTTGACAGGGTCTCGTTTAGAGTACCTACTGAAATGGATTTTGGAATTGGTACGGATTTAGTAGACATTAGTACCTATAAGACGCCTGCGCGCAGAGCAGATCGATAACGGACATATTTTTCTATCTTCGTGGAGCTTACGGTATAAATTGAAGCTAACAGATGTTTAAAAGCATAGCTCGGAAGGCAATTTTAATAATGGCACTTAGCTATTAACCTTGAAAGTCATTTGTTTACTGTCTAATAATAATAATCCCCTTATTCTGCGAAGTTCGGAATCTAAAATTCCTTTATACTTACTATGTAGTAGCTTCTACGCGTATGCGTGGAATATGAAATTATGATTCTTTGGTACAGGTTTTTTTTAATAGGACAAAATATGTAACCTGCTTATTCTAAATAACATTATAGGTACTCGATACGTACCTTTTTTATTTTTTTATTACGAAGGCGAAACCTCTATTTACAGACGTTGGCGCCCTTAAGGGGCACACCAACGACCGGACCTCACACCTAGCCTCTCGCAAGTCCCACGGGTGCGAAACGGAGAAGCTGTGAAGCAGTCCTCGCTGCTTACGGCATTACTATCCGCTAATAAATCCTGCGAATACCCTCTACGCTCTGTTAAGTGCGCGGCGGAACCGCGAGATTCCCATTGAGGGACTTCACCGCGTCTCCGCATCGACTCGGGGTATTTCGGGAGATCTTGTACTTGATACGTACCTGTATCTGCTCATACAAATTAGTACAGATATAATTTTCATTTTTTTTAAAGCATGTAACTGCTTGCTGTTTAAATCTAAAGAAAATATAACTAGAAAAAAATCCACGCGGACCAGGCTTGCACAGACACAAACGTGACTATTTTCATATATAGGTGCTAACTTTTGCATAACATAGGATAAGTATTGTCGTATAATAGATATATATATATATATATATATTATGAAAGGGGCTGTGATAGGGATTTAAGGTTAATGACAGGTCTTACCGATTGACATTTGGGAACCATTCCCAGGGTTCCGTACATAAAGGGTGACAAGAGAACTGTTTTAAGTAAAACTAAACTGTTCAGAACCCAATAGTCTCCACTCTCTGCGAGCCGTATCTCATGGAACGTAATAAGTACATAGCTGAAAACTTAGGATGTGTGTTTTTAATTCTTACTGCTATTTCTCATAAAATTATGTAGTAGTCACGTTCTGATATTTGCAGTCAATACACCAAGAATCACTGTTATTTATATGTTAGGAAAGTTAAGTTCAGAGTTACTAAGTATTTTAGAGACACTATTCATTATCAACAAGAGTGGATTCGATGCCTGAGGGAGTTCTGTTTATCTAATCAGTATAAATGTTTGTTTTCGAAGCTGTGAAGTGTAGTATGAACCAATATTTATATACCCACCCATGCATAGTATGTACCTTTGGATTTAAATAGATTCCGAAATTGGCGCCCAACGTGTACCCAGAGGACATAATTAATTATTCATGATAGTGACCGGACATTTTCAATTCATTGTGAAATGAATTGTCCTTACTCATTCTATCATGAATTTAAAAATGTCCAGTCACCAACATAAATAAAGAATTAAGTCTTCTGGAGATATATAGGGTGCCAATTTTAAAATCTCTCATAATATAGGATATTGACTCTATAGTTGACTTAACAATTCGGTTAACCCTCTGGTGGAACCTTTGTTATTTTTTTTATAGTTATATTTTATATTAAGTGAAGGTGAATTCCAGACGAGAAGATAACTGATACAGCAGTTCTACCTGCCACACCAGCCATCCTCATCCTGGAGCCCTGGAGAACGCCGGCATTCACTGACATGAACCGCGAACTGCTACCATCCGTAAGGATACGAATTCTACGCTCATGCAGGAAATCAGCTACCCAAGAACAGAACTAGCCCGGAAGACCGTATACCGGAAGCTTGGAGAGAAGGATTTTGTGCCAGACCCTGTCGAACGCCTTGGCCACTCAGGTCAGGTCCACTGGCTTTCCGGACGTTGAGTGATTGCAATTCGGCACGAACATCACGCCGCCTGATTTTGATATCAGGCATCGCTGTGCCACAGTAAGGTAATGATGGTGGCAGTGCATTGCAATCACCGATTCTGGAGTTAGCCGCAAAGAGTTTTGCCAGTAAATCGGCTTTCTACTGCGGCTAATGAGCTAGGCATCTCAAAGGTGGCAGCGAGGGCTGGCAGAAGTTATTTTGCACGGCCTTGGCCAAACGCCAATAGCTACGGGAGCCCGTAGGATGCGTTGAGTTCGTGACCAACACGTGCCACGCGCTGGGCATCCGCTCTGATGTAAGCATTCTTACAGGCCTTGGAAGCAATATTGAAGGCTGCTTTTAGTGAATTTTTTAATTTTAATGAATTTTTCGTGTAAACAACGAATAAATAATAGTGGATTAGCGTTATGCACTTATGACAAGTTAAAGCTCAACTTGCTGGCTTAGCGGAAATACTAAGTTAACACTATATTATTTATTTTTCCCACGAAAAATCAGTCGGATGACATACATAGAAATTTCGATATTTCGAACCATCAGCATTTCAATTTATATTATCGGCGCCGTGCTTCGTCTCTTAGACCTTAATATAAAACGTGATGTAGGTCTAACATATTTAATTTAAGAAGGTAAATTTTACCTCTTGTTAATAATATTTTATTATATTTAAATGAAGCAATCGTTATTTTGAATTAACATTTATTATAATACTCACAGTATATTAATAATAAAAAAAATATATAAATTAAATAATTACTCATATAATCATCTATAACATGACTATTCTAATAAACGCAAAACGATCACAAGCACTTGTCATTATTATGTTAAATTTTATTATTATTAATGATAAATATATTATGCTATTGACAGAATTTTGTGTCTGTTAACATTTTTGATAAGATCAATAGCAGCTCTAAATCCAATAATGTATGCGCTAATCATATCTTCGTACAATTTCACAATTTAAATAATCATGAATATAACAATCTGTGTTCAACTATATATAATTATGCTTATTTTATAATATTCAATTTATGCGTCAGACAATGCCGCAACGCCAGGGAGAACTTTACCTGAAAAATAAATAATATTAAATAATTTGAGTTTACAGTCAGAAATAATTTCGCGATGTATTTCTAGTTTCCAAATTATAATAAACCCTATTTAGAAATAAACAAATACCTATAGAATATCGTTTTCTTGATGCATCTATGATTATATCGTGATTGCCAAGGTTTTGTTACATTTTAATATGTAGGTAGACAATTACTTGAAATCGATATTATAAGCAATTTTCAATAAAGATATCATTAAAACAGTTAACCCATCTAACCGAATGTTATTACAGTGTGTTACAGTACACGAAAAACAGTTTAAAACTACGCTACGCTTATGTAAAAGACGAGAGTGAATTAAGACCAGACATTATGTTTTCTCCTCGATTCTAATATATTATTTATAAAGTTAACAAAAATATAATAATTCACTTACAGTGAATTTGGCATGTATTTTTAGAAAATGGTGTCATCTCACCAAAGATAAACTATTTAACAACTTATTTTGTATCAATAAATAAGTAACATGAAAGTACTCGTGGATATGTGCAGCAACTAATTAATGCACACTAAATAAGTATTACATTCTAATACTGAACAACATATTTATTAACTACTGAAGGCAGATTTGCATAAGCACAATACTTTATCCACCAGGGTCTAATTAGCTGTCGAATTTAATTATGAGGAAACTGTACTTTCCATCGTAGTATTTTTTTTCATTCTTGATATCAAGTGAACTGAGAAGGTTCCACTAATTAACGCGAGAAGAACCAAATTAGCAGATTCGCCGTGGATATTTCTTTAATTGAATGGAGACTCCTTAATGACAGCATTCCGAGAATTGAATTACTTTAACTTTACTCCTTTAAAATAACAATTGAAAAAGACAACATGAAATGGCAGGCATTAAATTGAATTCTCGTCTGTAAGTACACCCGTAAGAAAATTACGATATTTTGTGGCGAAGTCGAAAAATAACATTTTTATACGTCAGTAACCGATATGACCACTGATACAAAACATTATAAATAAATAAATATTTTCAACACTCACACCAATTAGCCTATCCCCAAAGTAAGCACTGTAAGGCTTGTGTTAGGGAATGCTAGGGTAACGGATAGAATACATATACAGTACATATATAAGTATATTTATATAGAAATACATATTAAACATCCATGGCTGCAGTACAAATGCTCGTGTTCATCACACAAACATCTGCCCCCACAGGGATTCGAACCCGGGACCTCTCGAGTCGGCGACACCATGAAACCCGGCGTACAAACGACTCGGCCACGGAGGTCGTCAAATTATATTTCTTTATAGTATTGTCGTAAAATATACTTTTAAGCTAAGTCTTATTTTTGTACTTCTTTTTATTAGCTTTCTTGCTTATTTTTTTGTACACTAAGTCTGTGCTGTTTTATTGTTTAAATGGAAATATCTCTAACTATGTAAACTTTTAATCGTGAATTAAATTTGATGTTAAATATACCTAGACAGTATAAAAAATACGTATACGTATAAAAAAAAATAACATTTTTATACGTCAGTAACCGATATGACCACTGATACAAAACATTATAAATAAATAAATATTTTCAACACTCACACCAATTAGCCTATCCCCAAAGTAAGCACTGTAAGGCTTGTGTTAGGGGATGCTAGGGTAACGGATAGAATACATATACAGTACATATATAAGTATATTTATATAGAAATACATATTAAACATCCATGGCTGCAGTACAAATGCTCGTGTTCATCACACACCCATCTGCCCCTACCGGGATTCGAACCCGGGCCTCTCGAGTCGGCGACACCATGAAACCCGGCGTACAATCCACTCGGCCACGGAGGTCGTCAAATTATATTTCTTTATAGTATTGTCGTAAAATATAGTTTTAAGCGAAGTCTTATTTTTGTACTTCTTTTTATTAGCTTTCTTGCTTATTTTTTTGTACACTAAGTCTGTGCTGTTTTATTGTTTAAATGGAAATATCTCTAACTATGTCAACTTTTAATCGTGAATTAAATTTGATGTTAAATATACCTAGACAGAATCAGAATACTACCAACACAAAGGTTCGCAATCGAGACCTGGCCAAATTGAATATATACAAAGTATAATTTTATATTCTTTACAGAGTAGTGTCTGTCTAGGAGCTCTATTTTTGAATAGCTCGGTTTGCGTCGAACCTCACTTCGGATAAATACGGAATTTATTATGTCTTATGAAAATGGGTTCATAAGACATAATAAATTCCGTATTTTTGAATAGCTCGACTGCAATGAGTGGTCTAAACCACTCGTTGCAGTCGACAATGAATACGCGGTTTCATACGATACGCAACACTTCCGTAATAGATCAAAATATTGCGTAGGTATAAGCTACGAAGCTTTGAAAATATGAAATAATTATCACTATACCAAAAATAACCTTATTGGTTTGTTTCAGTTTGTTATAATATAATCATGCTCTGTGTTGACAGGCTGTTTCAAACAGTTTGATCAAATAGAAATTCGAATATTTATATTTCTTGATGCCCATTGACAGCTTATATTGATCAAATTTTCCCACAGATTTTCATGCCAATTTGATCAAACTGTTTGAACTAGCTTTTTTGATCAAATTAATTAAACGTCTAACAAACTGAAACAAACTAATAAGCTTTATTTTTGGTACAGTGATGTTTTTGGTGCAGACATTTGAAAAGCTTCGTAGCTTATATCTAAGCAATATTTTGATATTACGGAAGTTTTGCGTATCGAATGAAACCGCGTATTCATTTCCCACGTTCTTTATTATGTTGCAATAAAATTTGAAGGAGTGTCAGTATTGAACGATAAGAACGTCGGAATTAATAGGTTTTACACAAATGTCATCGATTGAATACATTACAAAGTATGTGCCATTGTACTCAGAAGAGTTTAGCTCCGGTAAAATAAAAGAATATTGTATCACATTGTACATAAACATATCATATATTTCATATAGATATTATTCCATTTTCATATCCAATATATATACGCAGAGTAAATAGATGACCCAGTGATACTGGATTTAGTTTACGATTGTGGAAGTTAAGTGTCCAATCTACTATCCCAATGGCCGGTCATAGAATAGGTGACCGAAAATGTACCTATTATCTAGAGCCCCCCTGTGGAAGGGTAGTAAAGATCCGCTGCATCTGTAGTCGTAAGCATCTACCAAATGTAACTAAGTGTGGTGGATCATAATTAGATCTCCCTATTCCATACTTAGGGGAAGTCCCGTCCCTGGTGTTGCTAGATGCAAGCGTATCAATATCTGGACATTTGCCACCTTATAAATAAACGAAGACTACGCTTGGATTAGTAACTCCATGTTTTGTCACTATTCGTCTATTGAATGACAAATGGCATTGGAGTAACATGAACAAAACACGGCGTTACTAGTCTAAGCTTATTCCTTGTTTATTAATATGGGGGTTGTAGTTCTAATTATTCTAAGTAGCGCGTAGGGGCGTATTTTAAAATCTGGCGCCCTGGACCATTTACAATTTGCACCCCTTTACGTGTTAATAAGTGTAATTAGTGGATACGGGTCCAAGGCAACCTTACTTGTGCCCCAGGGTACAATGTGTTAAATAAATAATAATCGTATCAAGTAGGTATACAATGTTGAACAATATTAAATACCCTAGATACACCAACAAGAACAAAATCGTGCACGAAACCTATCTAAAAGGTACATTAGACGATCCAAGGAGCTCCGTAAGATGATCGCGTAGTCAAAAACAATATAAGGCATTATTTAAACACTGAAAGTCACTTTTAATGTATACTATATAAGGTCTTAATTAAAACGCATTCGACAGAGTTATGACGGTTCGAAATGCAAAATACGTAAAATTTTACGTCTTATTGCAAAATGCGGAAGAATATAGACGTTATTTCTCAGACTATACGCGCAATTCTGAAAGCGCTGTTGGCATTATAGTAACTTCGCATGGTACGGACCTCGACGAAAAGAGACGATTATATTACCGACCATGCATTGGAATATTACAAACATTTTCTATAAAATCAATTAATAGTAATTACTAGAACAAAATTTTCTTCAAATGAGTTAAATTAACAAACATTGATAAGATTAGTATTTTTTCGCATTTTTTCACGGAGCTCTGAGGCAACTTGACTTTTTAACGGTCCGCGCGTGACTGTGAACCAAGAAGTGCTTGAGTGGGCTTCAAGCACTTCTTAATTGTGACACATTTTAAGCGCATGTGGTGTATCTAGGGTATTTAATATCGTTGATAATGTTATCCAACACTTATGTATTGACTTACCCTCGAGAAGTTCGAGCGAAGCGCCACCACCAGTGGAGACATGAGAGACCTTGTCCTCAGTGCCCCATTTCGCGCAACAAGTGGCAGTGTCGCCTCCTCCTATAGAAAATCAAGAAATTACAGCATATTATTAGGGTGATAAATAAGAACCCGAATTATAATCCTCTACTGATGTCGATTTTTGCAAGATTCTCTAGACTTACAACTAAATTTAACATCAGTCTGTCCTTTTCATTCTGTATAAATAATAATAAATAAATATTGCCAACACTCACACCAATTAGCTGAGCCTCAAAGTAAGCACTGTAAGGCTTGTGTTATGGAATACTAGGATAACGGATAGAATACATATACAGTACATATATAAGTGGTCAGTCAGTGGTCGTGTTTTTTAGTTTTTCCCAAAGGTTGACTGGGAGAGAATGCTTTTAGCATTAAGTCCGCCTTTTGTACCGGTTATATTGTTATATATTTTGGTCAATAAAGTTTAAATAAATAAATAAGTATATTTATATAGTACCACATATTAAACATCCATTACAGCCCCTCTAGCATGACCACCAAAACGGGATATGATAAAGCGATATATCGACATTAACTGTCAGACTACTGTCAAACTCCATAGTAGCCTGACAGTTAATGTCGATATATCGCTTTATCATATCCCGTTTCGGTGGTCATGCTAGAGGGGCTGGAGTACAAATGCTCGTATTCATCACACAAATATCTGCCTCCCATCGATTCGACCTCTTGAGTCGGCGACACCATGAAAGCCGGCGTACAAACCACTCAGCCACGGAGGTCGTCAAAGATTGTATAGGGAATGACAAGGAATCACTAGTTTCTAAGTTTAGGTTTAGAGAATCATGCCGGAGTCGACACCACTGTCGAACTACAAAATAACATATTAATTTTATTAATTTACTAGCTTTTGCCCGCGACTTCATCCGCGTTATCGTCGTTTTTCGTAAAAAAGTAGCATATGTCCTTCCTCAGGGTTCCGTGGTTTTGATGTGACAGACAGATTAACTTTCTTATTTTAGTAGGGAAATATAATACTGTTAAAAATATCGCAATAAGGAACCGCAGAATATTATTATTATCACTGTGCCCCGAGACCATCAGCGTGTAACTCCTTGTATGTTATTATGTTAATGTATTGGTAATATTGTTTAGATCGCTTTCACATGAGTCTTAAGTACATAAAGAATGAAAATACTTCAGCGCAAAGCTTCCGGGTAGACTACGTTGAAATTTGTCCCGTCCGGAACGTGAACATAAAAAATTCTAGGACTGCTAACCCGGGAAAGAGCGACATAACTGACCATGTGAAAAACAACTGACACCGAGATCTACTCCAGCAACACGAAAAGTCTGCCCTTGAGCCTTATTTATTGTCATTGCATAACACACCGATACTGGGAATTGCGTTCTTTTAAATTGGAATGGAAAATTATTTGGTATTATGGGAATTCTGGGAATAAAGATGGTTTCTCCTGCACCGCAACCTATTAAAATTTGAGCCTCGATTACATTTTGTTGCAACTGGGTTACTTTAAGCCGAGTTCCATTGCAAATTTGTGGTGGTCTTAAATTTCGGAGCAGAATAATCGGAATGCCAATTTTTAAACAAATTTCATGAGAAGGAAGTACGGGCATATTTAAAGAATTTAAAAATTCTATCGGGTAATTAGTGGCTTCTTGTACATCGGCCATTCTATTTATTGAACTATAAACTTTGCTTTCCCCCTGGATATTCGACAGTATTTTATTATTAATCTCAGATGCCTGGTCATTGCGAGGAGTTAAAATGGACCTTTCGCATAGCCAAGAATTGTTCTTATTTAATATATTTGTTACGTCACCGTAAACTGACGATGTAAGATGTTGTTGGGATTGCACTATACAACATAACTCAGGCGTCAGAATAAGTTTTCCTTGGTGTAGCAGTGGATAGGTATCTTTGGTGAAGGTATTTTCTTTAATAATATATCAGAAAATTCACGATCATCCGGGTTATCTACAGTTCTCACTCGCATGTTTATAGTCAAATGCACCGATTGTATATCACGCCACAAATAAGAGCTTTTCAGGCAAGCCCTAACCTCAGCAGCTCGGGTTCCCCGTGGTATTACCGTTAAGGTTTGTCGGAAATCACCACAAAATAAAACTGTGATACCGCCCATGGGTCGATCATTTTGTCTTATATCTCTTAAAGTTCTGTCTACCGCTTCTACTGCTTTTCGATGGGCCATCGTACATTCATCCTATATGATTAAATTACACTTTGAACGAATATTTTTAACGAATACTTTAGCTACCTTACACATAAAATCTAAGTGACTATTTGAACTAAAATATTCTTATAGAATTATAACCAGAAATATATACAACTCACAACAAAAAAGAAATGAAAATAAAGCTGAAACGCGTGTGCAATACTATCTACCTATACCTCCTTCACTTAAAAATAAATACTTATAACTACTTTAATTAATAAAAGTACCTACGCTTAATAATTTTTAATTTGAACGAATATTTAAACACTACCAAAACAACTAATACCTGTTTTACAAAATAACAACAAAAGAAATTCAAATAAACTATTTAAAGACTAAAAGTCGCGCTGATAAGCACGGTTTCGGTCTCCCAGGCGGGGGAGCAGATGAGAAATCCTCATGGATACCCTACAGCCGGCTGCAAGGTTATGTCAGACTCGTACTGACTAAAAAACACCCGTAGGGGCTGCCTCTGGCCGGGAAGGCCTCTAAGGCTTCATCGGAAGCGATCGTCCCCCAGGGGGGGACCGACGCAGAAAACAGATTTAGACAGCTCGCTCTCGGACCTTTGATACCCTACCGCTGCCGTGACCCGTGTCGAACGCGGCAACCATTACACAAAAATAATCCTTATAGCATGATTCAGTATTCACGTGCGACGGCGCGATGGCTTATTTCATGTATAAGTTTGGTGTTTCTATACCGAGTATTATAAACGTAAGAGTAAACAAATATGATCAGAATGCTCCGAACTGCTAAGCTATCGGGAGTTACACGTGTTATTGTGAGTCAACCATAAAAGATAGACATATGCTGTTGCGGGATATTTTTTAGACAATTTTATGTAGAATATTTCCGTCATACATGATTTCTATGTAACTTTAATCATTAAGGCTGCACACGCGACGGAAGCTTAAAAAATGGAGTAACTTCTCCCGTTTTCCCAACATTTCTCTTCACTACTCTGCTCCTATTGATTGTAGCGTGATGAAAAGTATACTATAACCTGCCCAGGAGTATGAAGAATAATTGTACCAAGTTTCGTTAAAATCCGTCGAGTCGTTTTTGTTTCTATAAGGAACAAACACACAGACAGACAGACAGACAGACAAAAATTTTACTGATTGCATTTTTGGCATCAGTATCGATCACTTATCACCCCCTGATAGTTATTTTGAAAATATATTTCATGTACAGAATTGACATCTCTACAGATTTATTATAAGTATAGATATAGATATAGATGATATTACCATACCTACACCTTAGGCCCGGCCAACAAATAGTTATTGCATCAAAAAAGAATTGTGAAATACAAATATTTACTTTTTTCTCCTCCTAGACTCTTGTCTTGGTTTAAGGTTTCGAAAATATGATAAGCTTACAAATACATTAAGAATTTATATAATCTTATATGAGAGACAATTATCAGGAACAACTGAAATTGACGTTTAACGTCAATTTCTAATGTTCTAATTACATATTAAACTTACCAATAATGGTGATTGCTCCGTTAGCAGTGGCCTTGACGACTCCATTCATAAGTGCCCTAGTTCCACCAGCAAACTTTTCAAACTCAAACACACCAGCAGGCCTGTTAAATAAAAGTGAATAATATTGTTTCCACATTAAACATATTTTAAGGTAGTAAATAATGATGAATAGGGGTGACGACGGAGTTAAGTACACGACATTTTTTTAGTCCGTCAGTTAGATTATTAAAAAAAAATGAACACGTATATTTTTTCTTTGATCAACAAAAGAAAAAACAAAGATTAGAAAGAAGCGCGTCAATGTTTGGGAGTGGGGAGCTCGTGACGTCACTTTTAAAAATATATTGTGCCAAAACGTGTCGTCATACGACATTTCAATTCAATATATGTATCTCTGTTATGTTTTGATTATGTGGATAAAGAAAAAATATACTTCTAGACACATCTATCGGCCCACTTCAAGTTTCAATGGTCTATAGCAAAAATATATGATTATGGTTGAGCAATAATTTTAAAAAGACATGAAGATTGGTGGCTTTAAAACTGTGTAGGTAATAACTTTTTGCTCAGTGTAACGTTTTAGTTAGGGACAATAAAACTTAAAATGCTAGGTGGGCCGATAGATGTGTCTTGAAGTATATGTGTCCAATACTTTTAGATAATCTACATGAAAGATGAAGAAAAAAAAGTTAGTCATCATCCCTATTCAATAAAAATCTTACCCATTCCATACAATAACTTTAGCTCGGGCAATAGGCTCCGCGAAGAGCTCTTGAGACTTGGGTCCAACGTCAAGGCCTAACCAGCCATCAGGGATTCCAGATTCAACAGTGGCGCTGCCAACCTAGTAAAAGAATGATATTATTAAAACTTCGTTCAAACAGAGATAAGCTTTGCAAGACTTTCGTCCGCGCTGATTGCGACATCTGACTAGCTAAGTAATTTAGTAGTAAGGACAAGTTCAAATTTACGCAAATAGTCGCATAAATTGCACGGAAATATACATGGGGTCGCGTATGGTTTATCGAAATGTTATTAAACATTAAATTAATTACACAAAACAAAATTATAATCGTATCAAATTAATATGTGTATCATTGTTATGAAACTCTTCAAAATTCTATTCATTGAGAACTCGGCTCATCTTTCTCAAATATTAAGACAAGTAACACATTACTGTGTAAATTCTTACCGATGCCTTTTCATCAAACTTATCAGCTGTAACAAAGTCCACTGGAAGATGCACCTTCACATTGTTCTTAGCAGCTTTCTCCATAAGTTTGGTAACAATCTTAGCTCCTTCAGCGTCATATAATGAACTGCCAATCTAAAAATAATTTTGCAACCCATATAATATACTTCTTCATGTTTGTAAATGGTAATAGCTAAAATTGCACATTTGAGAACTATCTTGACGAAAATTTACATGAAATGAAAACTGAGAAAATACAGTAAAGTAAGGTAGTGGCAGATTTTTTTTTGTGGTCAATGAAAATAAGCTAATATAAATAAAACCGTCACTACCATATAAGGCATTATTTAAACATTAAAAATCACTTTTAATGCAAAGTATATAAGGTCTTAATTTAAACGCGTCAAATGGTTACAACAGTTCGAAATGCAAACTTGTAAAATTTTACCACTTGTTGCTATAATTTAGGCAGAAGAATATAGACCTTATTTCTTAGACTCTACTTATAATTCTGAATGCACTGTTAGCAATATAGTAGGTACGACGCGCGAGGAAAAGAGACGGCTATATAATCGACCATGCATTTGAATATCACAAAAAAATTCTATTACATCAATTTCTATTAGGTATTAAAACAAAAAATTCTTTTAATGTGTTAAATAAACATTGAATAGGTACCTGCCGAAAAAACGACACTATGTACTATATGTATTTATTTCGCATTTTTTTATGGAGCTCTGCAGCATATTGACTTTTCAACCGTCCGTGCATGACTGTGAACCAATAAGTGCTTCCAATAAGCACTTCTTGATTGGGACACATTTTGAGCGCTCCTGGTTTTTAATATTGTTGTCTGTTATCTACTCTTCTTTTCATTGATCACAGAAAAAAATGTCAAGTGTTGCTTCTTTTTGGTCACTGGTGCCACTACCTTAGTATTAATTTCAGAAAGTTTCAGTATTTTTACAGTACATTATTAGGATAATAAAAAAAAACTCAAAGTGAAATACTCACAGCCATACCCTTAGTTACTTTGAGGAATGTGTATGCCATACCACCACCAATGATCATCTCGTTGACTTTATCCAACAAATTTTCTATCAGCAGTATCTTGTCTGCTACCTTAGCCCCACCAAGGATTGCCAGGAAAGGTCTACAAGTACATACTTTATTAATAGTTGTTGCAAATCAATCAATTATGTATCTTATATAGAGTGAAATAGAGCTCAGTCAGTTAAAGAAATTTAAGTCTGGGGTAATTTTAAACTATTACTGACTGGTACTTATCCAAATCTGATAAAGTAAGTGATTTATTATATTTTAATATAAGTATTTGATTGCCAGATTTTTATATCTAAAAATTGTTTCTCTGGTATAAATTTTCTTTAAACATAATTTGTAATATGTATAACAAATATTTGTAATATTATTTTAACATTTTATATCTCTCACCTCTCTGGCTCATGCAGTGCTTTAGCAAAGTATTGCAACTCCTTCTTTAGTAAAAAGCCACTGGCTCTTTGTTCAAATCCATCACCCATCATGGAACTATGTGCTCTGTGAGCAGTACCTGTTAGAGGCATGTAACATTATGAAAAAGAAATATTTTAAATTTAAAATCCAAGATTTACTTTCTTATAAAAATAAAATATTAAACCATTGATGATTACCAAAAGCATCATTTATGTACACATCCCCCAGTTTCCTCAAGCTGGCTCGGAAAGCTTTGACTTTTTCAGGATTAGCTTTGACCTTGGCGCCACTAGCATCCACACCCTTGCCTTCCTCTTCAACATGGAAGCGAAGGTTCTCCAAGAGTATGACAGAGCCTACTGGAGGGTCAGCACAAGCAGCTTCCACCTCAGAACCCACACAGTCGGACAGGAAGGTCACATCTCTACAACAAAATCAAATTATGGTATTTTTTCCCAGTTCCGGATAAAAAACTTATTTGTCTGATATAATTTAAAAGTAACACATAGTAATAATTAAAATGTATATATTTTATTATTTGAATTTTCTCTATAAGTGGATGTTTTGTAAATGCTTTTGATAAAATAAATGTCTTTAAGCGAAATTTAATTCACCCTATGTCTGCTGAATAATTTATTTTAAGAAAAGCTAGGCCTAAGTATTATGACTTTTGTTATACAGTAAAAAAGACGTTCAAAGTGATCTCACCTGTTTAATAACTTCTTCAGCTCTGCAGCTACCGGCTTCAAAGTGTATTTTAAGTTTGCCTGACCGTCGGGTCTGCCCAAATGTGACATAAGAACCACCGATTTCGCACCTTTATCCAAAGCATATTTCACAGAATCTAAGGCCGCTACGATGCGCTGATTGTTTGTTATGACTCCTTCCTTTAATGGGACATTGAAGTCGACTCTAAAATCATTAATTTAATAAATAAGTCTGTAGTTTAGAATATTACAAAACTTTTGCAAGAGCTGCTTATCCAAACTAACCTCATGAGTACCCGTTTGCCACTCAAATTAAGGGCATCGATACTCAGTTTATTTAGAGCCATTTTCAGTTAAAGTGAGTGAATCGAAAAGTAGATTTTCGGCAGAATTCTTGACCGCCGATCCACCGAAATCTCAAATTTAAATGTCAATTTTAACCTTGTGAATGTCAAAAGGGTCAAAAGTTCTTGCCATAAAAGAAAATATTTTTTCATCATTGTAATGCCTGCACTTCACTACATAACAATTGTTATTTGTGTTTATTATTTGTAAGCTCATCAGCAGTCTCTCCTTTCCATTTTCTAAAGTGTCCGTGATGCTAGCGTACCCACGATCAATATACGGTCTTTCGTTATGCCATTAAATACTGCGTAAATAGTGCCAAATTAGTGTAAAAATAAAAAAAATAGTGCCTCTTTAATTTAAGAAATAAAGACCATTTTTACTGTGTACGCTACCATGACGTCAAGCTAGCGTACCCATGGTCGACCCCAAGAACGGCATATATTTAAGCAACGAAATTGACACACAAAAATAGTTCGCAAATAGTGCCCTGGCTTTACGAAATTTCATAATCAATCAAATCAACTCATAAAGGACCAAAGATATTGAACTAAACATTCTTAGCTGGCGTCAACCTGGCGTACCCATAATAGTTCTCATAGAAAATTAACTTTTCTCGTTATCAATTCTATATGTATAAATAGTGTGTCAAATAGTGCCTCTAACAGTAAAAGTATTTTATGTGAATCCGCATCACAACAATACAGAGGATGTTAAATTCTAGGAACAAATGTATTGTAGTACAGTTGCACACAAAATTAATTTATGCACTAATAGATTATCTATATATGTATTTTTACTAAAATAAATAGTTACTTTTTATAAAAAGATATTTTATTTCAATTCGAATTCACCAATCATAAATTCATATAAGAATTTCTATTTTTTATTTTTACACTAATTTGGCATTATTTACGCAGTATTTAATGGCATAACGAAAAACCGTATATTGATCATGGGTACGCTAGCATCACGGACACTTTTCTAAAGAGTATAATAAGGACAATCTGCTGCCAAAATGACAGACAACAAAAACGAATAGCCAAGTGAAGTGCCGGCATAAAGTTGACAACTTGCTGTCCCTATTATGCTTTTTAAGGAATGAAAAGGACAGACTGATGTCAAGTTTACAAATAACGAACACGAATATCCAAGTTGAGTGACGGCATAATATCAACACAAGCTCAATACTGCACATAAAGATTACATACTGCATACTGCACATTTCAACATACAAAAAAAATTGCAAGTTCTTTTTGCACTATTCAATATTATTTAGTACCTATGTTACATTTGACAGCAAGTTTAAACTTAACTGAAGACTGCTGTCATAATTATTGATTATTAAATTATTATAAATACTTGACGCAATTTGTAACTAAAAATTTCTCAGATGAACGAGTTTACAAATACTTTCTTTACAAATCGGTTGCATTAAACGGATGGCTATAAGCTTGAGTTGCAGTTTTTTTTATAGTACGATTTTATATATCGATTATTTCCTCATGCGGTCAAATAGATAACCAAAGGGCTAAATCTACCGTGTATAAGTACCTTAATATACCATAGACTTCAGATTTTCGCACTACGGTATGACATTTCGAAAATGTTATGTTGGCATTAAAAAGGTTTTGGAGGAAAGAGAGGACCGAGAGGACGCAGCGCGGGAGGGAATTTAGTTCTATTAAGTTGGCACTATAGTTCTTCTTCGCGAAATATGCACGCATCGAGACGCCTGAATTTAGAATGTTCATTGAATATCTGCGTTGAAATTGATAAAGTATTGTTGTGCGTTAATGAGAACTATTGTGGAATATCATTCTTGAAGGACCGTTTAGTTTGTTATTCAGTGTGTAATAGTGACTGTTTTGGGTGACGAACAAAAGAGTACTTGGTGCGTCGAAAGTTAAAACATGGTGCCGCTAGGGCCGGGGCCCGGCCATCCTGCTGCACATCAAACACATGGCGGGCCCTCAGCGAATCTGTCTGGATCAAATTCACTATCGCAAAGTACCCCACAATCAAATAAATCTTCGGTGGCGGTAAGTATAAACCGAAGTTACGTCGGCTTGCGTCAGGCGCGGGCGGCACATGTTTATATAACTAACTTTTTGTGAGCACGTGCGATTTGGCGCTAATATCGTTGACGGTTTCCAGAAGCCGAACTATACGTTAAAATTCACGCTTGCTGGTCACACGAAGGCTGTATCATCGGTAAAGTTCAGTCCCAATGGAGAGTGGCTGGCTAGTTCCTGTGAGTATTGAAATACGATTCATATTTATTTGTATCGAAACAGCTGTATGCAACCCACTTTTGTCGTATGTTCATGCCAGCACAGTTGCACTGTGAATAATTAACTCTGAACTGTCTAAATATAGATGTTTGTTTTCAAATGATTGTATAGATTGTCATCAAACTTATATTGTAAAAGTTAAAGTTTGAGTGTGATTTAAGCATTAATTACTTAAAATAACTTTCAAAATAAACTGACTCTTTCCTGCATGATATATAAGTTTATTCTATTAAGTTGTAAAGGTGTGGTATCTTTTAATATACCTACATACCATTACAATCACAAAGGTATTCTAAACATAATTGTGTAATCTGCCCTAGATAAGTTATTGACCTTATTACATATTAAGTTATGTTTGGTAAACCAAAATTAATACTTCTAGATACTGAGAAGTAATGCTCATTAAACTTAAAACTGCATCTGTGTTGCAAACTGGTTGCATTGTGTATAGCTTACATTTTCTGTTATCAAATTTTTGAATATATTAATATTTTTCAGTGTTGAGTGTACCATTATTGAGCAATCACTGAGTTTTATATGACCTTGGATTCTACACAAGCTATTCCATTGTTATATTTTGATGTTAAATGTTTTCTATTGACTAACTGTAACTTAATATAGAATTTTGCAAATTGTTTTAGCATTATTTTTCAAGATATATGTTGTAACTAATAATTTCAAAGATGGTCAATAATTGTACATATGACTTTTTTTAGCTGCTGACAAACTTATCAAAGTGTGGGGTGCATATGATGGAAAATTTGAAAAGACCATTTCTGGACATAAGATGGGCATCAGTGATGTGGCATGGTCATCAGACAGTCGATTGATAGTTAGTGCAAGTGACGACAAAACATTAAAGGTGAGTTAGATATATGAAAATATTACCAGATTCTTCTGATAAGCTGATATTTTCTATATTATATTTTGTTTTAATGTAAATCTAATTAGTCTGAAAATAAAATTAGAAAATAAAATATAAAATTATAAAATTACCTGTTTATGCCCTATTACTAAAAAGTTACTATCAAATCAACAAATGTCACCCGCTCATGCAAAATAGTAGGCTCCACACAGAATTGAAAATCAACAAATGTATTTAAAAATATCAGTAAGGAGCATAGTCACTCTAATGAAAGGAAAGATTTGTGTCTTTTTATAAGACTGGTCAAACAGGCTATTTTATTATTTAATGATCAGAGAATGTTTACATTGTTATTAAAATAAAATATAATTAGGTTTTAGGTTGTGGTTATGCTGCATACTAAATTTCAAAGTGTCTGAATAATGTTAACCTATTATTGCAAGATAACAACTGTAAACCTGCCTTATCTAGTTCAGTTTGAGTAAAGTTTACTCTGTAAGCTTGGATTCCCAGACTATTGAACTTTTATCACAGTAACCCACACAAAGATAAGATTAGAGCAATACTTTTTATACACTAATACAACTTGCATTCAATATGGCTAGTGTATCAGCTAATATTATTTATAATTATAATATATTACTTGCCTCTGTAAATAAAATGTTTCATGTACACATTCATTCTTATTTTAAATAGTAATAAAAAATGTAACACAGTACTTCATGACTGATCTAGGTTTTTTAATTTACCAAAAATACCCACATATTTTAAAATTATGGTGAATAATTCCATTATTTGAGATTTTATTAACTTCTACTGATATGAAAATAATCTTTCATTTATGAGAAGTTATAAAGTTATTGTATTCCATCATAAATGTTGATAATGTTAGTTTAGCTATTTAGAAAGTTGTGGTAATTATGTTCACATTTCTTCTAAATCTTCTGTGGACATAATATACAAAATCCAGAAAAAAACATATAAAATTCCAATCAAAAAATATAATGTTATGTTGCCACAACAGATGATTAATTAAACTTCATTAAGAGTTGTTAATGTTAATTCTTTTTCTTTATTTTAGGTTTGGGAATTGAGTTCCGGCAAATGCTTAAAAACACTAAAAGGACATAGCAATTATGTATTCTGTTGCAATTTTAATCCACAAAGTAATCTTATTGTATCAGGAAGTTTTGACGAAAGTGTGCGGATATGGGATGTTAGAACAGGTAATTCATGAAATATTAATAATTTTCTATCTGGTGATATCATCACTTTGAATTTCAAAGGTGTCTTGCATGACCTTGTGATTATAAAAACTAAAGGAATATCTGTCTTATGTGAATATAAATGTAATTTTATGAAGCACAGTTGAAAATGCACTTTAACTACATTCAGTTTTATCTATGTCATTTTCATATATTGAAGTAATATAGAAAAGTGTTTTTAAAGAATACAGTAAATTTTAGTACATGAGTATATTGCTTTCTTTTCAGGTAAATGTTTAAAGACACTACCAGCACATTCAGATCCAGTATCAGCGGTTCACTTTAACAGAGATGGAAGCCTTATTGTATCTTCAAGTTATGATGGATTATGGTACGTTTGACTACTAGTCTTATTCCACACCAATAATAAGTTCTTTAAAATTTTTATGTGTTAATAAATTTGTATTTTTCTATGATTACAGTCGAATCTGGGACACAGCATCTGGTCAATGTTTAAAAACATTAATTGACGATGACAATCCTCCAGTTTCATTTGTTAAATTCTCACCGAATGGCAAATATATACTAGCAGCTACACTAGATAACACTCTCAAACTATGGGATTATAGTCGTGGCAAATGTTTGAAAACATACACAGGACATAAGAATGAAAAATATTGCATTTTCGCCAACTTCAGTGTCACAGGAGGAAAGGTGATTAATTTTATCATTTACAATATCAATTATGTCGGGTGGTTTTATTAAAATAAAAATATCATAACATTATAATAGTAACGTAAGTTAGTCCATGTGGAACTATTTTTTACTAAAAGGAAACATAATACTTGATCAATCAGTTCTATCTCAGGTTTTTTGTAATATTTTGTCATACTTTTTTTTGTAATATCAATAGATGAAACTGCCTTTTTTTATTAATGATAGTTATTTGAATAGTTCAGATATTATGTCATAAGTATGCGAATCCATGATTCTATTCATTGAGTGGTTAAAAACGATAGTAAAAAATACCACTATAAGTATAATGTGTGATTCATAGGCAGATTGTTGCTATGCAGGAAGCTTGTAGGCGTGTTTAATTTGGATACCTAACACCATTTTTTCTGACCTTGATCTCTTTTGTCTGTCTAATTAATTGCAAAGTTTTGTTGTCTAAGATCAGAATTTTCAATTGGAAGCCTTTATTTGGTTAAAATTAAGCAACTGATCAAGTGATTCCGCTATGCCCTACCTCACTTAAATCTTCTGAAGCAAAACTTAAATTTAATTCTAAAGTTAAAGGAATGTTTATTCTGTCGCTATAATTCGAAAACATGTTAGATTATATAAAAAACGGTACTTTTATTTTAGTGGACACATTTATTATTCCACTTAATTAGCATTACTTAATTTCAATATTTTCGAAAAGCTTGTCTTTAATTTTTACCAAAACTTATCTATACTACAGATTTTATGCAGTTTAGGTGTATTGCTTTTAGTTGTTTGTGAATGCGGCTGTGAAGATGTTCTGCAAATTAGGCTTTCATTTAAACTTTTTGCTGTTTAGATATACATATTTTAGTCATTTTGCTTATTAGGTGACTTGCATTAATAGACATTCTGCAAATTCTGCTATGTGATCGTAATAGATAGTAACTAATGGTTTCTGGTAATAAATAGTCTTTAATTGTAAAGTCTTCTTTCATTACAAACAAACTTAGGGTTAAGGTTAGGTTAAACCCAGGGAGATTAGAAAACAACAGGGTTATTTTCAATTTTAAATGAAAGTTCCTTAGATGTCACTTATTGATGCTTTTTTTATTTAATTTACTTTTATTTTAAATTTGTCATTATATGGGTACTAACAACCTCACTTGTTCACAGTGGATAGTATCTGGGTCAGAGGACAACTTAGTATATATCTGGAATCTGCAGTCGAAAGAGATAGTTCAACGGTTGTCCGGCCACACGGACACAGTACTGTGTACGGCTTGTCATCCCACGGAGAACATTATCGCATCTGCTGCACTTGAGAACGACAAAACTATCAAGTTATGGAAGAGTGACACTTAAAATTATGCTTGTAAGTACTCTATTATAATGAGTTAGTTGTATTTCTGATTGCTGCAATGTTCCGATGATTGCGCTTTTATCATCATCATCATCAGCGTAAAATTGTCCCATGGGCATGATACTTAGCAAACCTAGTGCAGATTGATGAGTGCTAACAACTGCAGCAATTATAACCACAAAGCCTAATTTGCAGAATGTCTATTAAGCAAAACTCCCATAACCAATGGCTACAATATAGAAGGTCTAAATGCAATATGTCTAAGATCTTAAATCACATGAAAATCAGAAAGCCTAAATTATAGAACAACTATGCAGCAAAACACCTAAAACTAATGTCTAAACTGCCGAATTGGCTTTGTGATCAAAATAATGACTGCAGATGCAGCCGAAAGCGACAGCAAAACGTGCCTTTCGAAGCAAGAAGGAGCTCGAGATAGTATCATTTTGGTCACCCATCCCATCATCGGCCATTGTGAAAGTTGTTCAACTTTCATAACCGCAGTAGAACGCGTTAAAAAATCAAGTACCGTAAGCGCTATGATGCTTTGTATTTACAATTTTATGTTCAAACTTCAAAATGGAGTGTCACTCCATAAAGCAGCTACAAAATAGATGGAATGTACATGCCCCATTTTCATCACTAACCGTCTATCTCTTTCTTCATGTCAATTTATGCACAAATAAGTAAGCACTGCTATGACCAGTGCGGTCAAAATGTGAGCTTTTTGTTCTGATGTGATTTTCATTCAGAGCATGAATTCTATTTTGGAGTAGACTGCCTATGCGATTCTTATGCGTCGGCCGATTTCATAGTTGAAGGTCTTGTCCGTGGACTTTTCCGCCAAAATCTATCTACTAGGTTTTCATTACCGCCTACAAAAACTCCCCCGACCAACCAAGGACACTGAGAAACCGAACAGCACATAAGTCGCATACCTTTGTCCTGACTGGTCTCTCGAGAGTTCCCGAAAAAAAAAACCTAATCTGAGTATATGTATTTACTTCCATGCCATGCGCTTTTCTAAATTTCTGGGGAACAAATGTTTGTACGTTGTGTGCGTTGAGTTCATGACAAGTCCTTGGCCAACAATTTCTTCACGATTTCTCGATCGACGATGTCCTCAGCGGAAAAAATTCCCTCTGCGCTGCTATAACAAAAATTAAACAGGTATAAAGCGCGTTTTTATTGTTTTTTTTTGTAATTATTCTTGTCGTTGCGACCTTAACGTATATATCGCGTAAGAGTTCTAAATTGGGAAACCCCTAAGAAGAACTGGCGAAAGAAACTTAGGCAGGCTACTCTTAATTTTGTAATAGAAGGTGACTTCATAAATTATCTCATATTCATAATAATACCGGGAGAATAAACAGCCGCTGCTAAGTTTCTTGCTCGTTCTTCTTAGTACAAGGTGCACTCCCGCCGTTGATTTGCGAACCGATAGCGTAGCTTTTCGACAGTCACAAGTTTTTGCATACGCCCCGGCAAACTTCTTAACCATGGACAACAAAGCCTTATTGCATGCAAAAAAAAAGTACTGAGCAGGTTTGTTTGTCTGTGGTTTTTCTTAAGAAGTTTGCCTCTACAAGCTAAGAGCCTAAACTGAATAAACTATATTGAATTTTCATTTTGTTCCAGGTCAAAAGACATAAGCATTGGTCTGACGACGCGGCTTCATATTGTGAGCTGGTGCGACCGGCTTGTGCATTTGTACCTATACGGTATCACGGACAATGGACTCGCTTGATCCGATGCATATTTTACTATAATTTAGTTCACAGTGAAACGTGTGCATTTTCGGTTGTTATAAGATATAAATATTTTTGTATCTGACATGCAAATGAAAGGTATGAAATGATTTAGCCATTATGTTTTAGTTAAGATGAGGTTAAGAATTCCGCTTAAGAATAAACTTGTTGGATGCAATTAAAAATTTAGTAGTTAAATTGTGTGTTTTTTTATTACCTTGAAACGTTAAGAGACTAATGCTATTCGCAACCTGCAAAATGGCAGTCTGTTATATAAAGGTCTGAAGGAAGAAAACAGCCGCACGCAGAGCTGTCAATTATTTTTATTCTGTTTCTTTGCAATAGCAATAGAACAAGACAGCACGTCCGATTGAAAAACATTAAATTTAATCGACTTCTCTGAGAGCAGCCCATAGGCCCATATATACCCTTCATATGTAAAACTTGGACGTCAGAGTTGCAAAACAGCCCGTAGTTAAGATGAATAAGACCTGTTAATTCCCTGCCCATTGCCTCAGTTTCCGGTCCAACACTCGCCGCTCCCGGTCTATCACTCGCCGCTCTCAGTCCGTCGCCCCCCCTTTCGGTCCTTCACCCACTGCTCCTGATTTATAACTCACTGTTCCCGGTCCATCACTTGCGACTCTCGGTGCATCACTTGCGACTCCCGGTCCATCACTTGCGACTCCCGGACCATTACTTCCGCCTCCCGTTCCATCACTTGCGACTCCCGGTCAATCACTCACTGCTCCCGTTCCATTACTTGTAACTCCCGGTCCATCACTCATCATTCCGGGTTGATCAATCACTGCCCCCGGTTCATCATTCACCGCTTTGGGTCTATCGCCCCCGCTTCCGGTCCAACGCCCCCGCTCCCAGTCCAACACCGCTCCCGGTCCATCACTTACTGCTCCCGGTCCATCGCCCCCGCTCCTGGCTTTATTTTTGCAACTCCCGGTCCATCATTCACTGCTTCCGGTCTTTACTGCGCCAGTAAAGTAATTTCGTAATTTTTGAGCGCCTTATTTAACCCCTTCGAAAAGATTTTGACTATTTCCAATAGAAGTTAATAGTAGAATTATTCTTCCTATTGAAAGTTAATGTAGAATATTTGCAAATACTATTTTCCTTTTTTTGTACTGATCGTTCTACTGCAGCCAGTTTACAGAAAAAAACGATAGTATGCACAACTTCAAACGTCTGAATCTCAATAATGGTCAATAAAATATATCAAATTAATTACTACGACATCAGAAATATGTTTTTGTTGTAACATAATGTATTAGAATTATGATTTTCTATCTCATTAATTATCACATCTAACCTCCGTGAAAAAATAATGCAGGTTTACCTCGTATTTTGATATTGAATTAAATAGAACTACTATCAAAAATTTTCATAAAACTAATCTACCATCATTGAACTACTGAAATATGTATATATTTTTATAATTAGTTCTTATTATACTTATTTTATAAGACTAAGCATCACCCGTAAAATGCAATATATACTAGTGCAAATCTACCTACGCGCCGATTAGTACGGCAGCGGCGCAATTTTGTAAAAGGGCTCTTAAAGGGCTACTTTTGCTAAAATCGGACTTCAAAGACAGTGAGGTGGAAAAATCTTAAAATTAGCCATTTGGTATCGAAGTATTTTTTTGCATTTTTAATGTTAATTAGATTGTAAACGAATCAAAATTTATTGCAAGAACCGAACGCTAAGATTTTAACATTTGGATGTCAACAAATATCATATTATTATTAAATAAAAGGAATTTTACATTCGTCCAGTCGTTTGCCTGCCTTTGTGCCTTACGATACTCTGTGTTTTCTCCTCATTTGTGATCTCTTGACGAACTTTGTTTTCTTTACGGACTTTGAGTGTGATTACGATTTGGTTTTGTGATACGGAATTCGACGACTTTGGCTTTCCCAACGGACTTTTCAAGCACATTAATTTAGTAAGCTATTCCTTTTTCATCAAGAGATTATGCTCTCATGCATTACTATTATGGTTATGGAAGAGGAAACGCTTCTGAAGCTGCCAGGTTGTACAGGGAGCAAGTACAAAATGGCGGTGGACCTCAGCCTGAAACTTGGCTGGAATGATTTTAAGAGTCCATAACTCTTACATGGAAGGGCGTCTACCAGGCACAAGATCGGGGCGTCCACGTGAATTGCAAGACCCAGATACAGTCGAATCAGTGGTCGAAGAAGTGGCTGGAGATCCATCCGTTAGTGTAAGAACCCTAGGACATCGAATTGGAATCACAAAGTCACAGGCACATCGATAACTAGCAAGAGGGTTTTCACCCATATCATATCCAAAGAGTGCAGCAGCTCAAATCCGAAGATTACCCGAGAAGAGTGGCATTTTATCAAGAAATGTTATGGCGTCAAGCTGAAAATGAAAATGTTTTCAAAATATCTTGTGGACCGAAAGACCACACTTTAAAAGGTGTGGGGGTTTTTTAATATCCTCAATTATCACTCATGGAACATTGAAAATCCACACCTGACACGTGACTCAAACTTTCAAGAACAATTCAGCGTGAACTTGTGGTCAGGCATAATAAACGGACAGCTGATTGGTCCGTTCGAACTACCAGACCGATTCAATGGCAAGTCCTACTTGGAATTTTTATGGCGGAGGAATATGATTTTTCAAAACGATGGCGCTCCATGCCATTACGAGAGCATCGTCAGACATCATTTAAATGAAAGGTTTGGTGACAAGTGGATCGGGCGAGGAGGGCCCATTGTGTGGCCCCCACGGTCCCCAGACTTGAACCCTATTGATTTCTTTGTCTGGGGATATTACAAAGAATTGGTCTACGCTAAAGACATAAGAAATATTCAAGAATTATGAACGAAATTGCGACACGCAGAAGAAACAATAAAAAATAACACAATAGTGTTTATTCAGCTAAAAGATTTAATAAGGTGCAGAATATGTATTGAGCAGGTAGGGAGACATTTTGAAAACTTTTTGTAATAAATAGCAGTTACTTTTTATTTCATTTAGCTTCCCCTTTTTAAAGATTTTATTTTTGTAACTTAATTTATTTTTTAGGTATCACACAATACAGCGAGTTCAAAAAATCTTCTAAAAAATGGTAGAATCTTACCTTTTTTGCAATCATTTTCGATTAGTTAACAATCTAATTAACTTTAGGAATTATAAAATGCTAAAAAAAACTTCGATACCGAATGGCTAATTTTAAGATTTTTCCACCTCACTGTCTTTGAAGTCCAATTTTAGCAATAGTAGCCCTTTAAGTACTACTTTTAATGATAATGATAGCTGAGAGTCTAGCGCAGTTTTTAAACTTACTTAGAAGCTATGAAACTACCTATTAAGATTTTAAATTTAAAGTTGAAATTTTAAGACATAATTCACTGACCTTAATTTTTTCACTTTGCACCATCATTTTTTAAACTTTCATCATAGTTACGAAAACAAAGGTATTAGTCATTAAAGTATAATTAATTTTTTTATTAAATTTTAAGTTGTTTATGTCAATAATTCTCAAAATTTTAGTAAATTCATAACTCGCAAACTATCCAAAATCGCGGAACATACATGGGGTGTTTCGGATTCTCCAAGGGGTGTTCTATTTCTGGACTACAGCTTGACACTATTTTTTGGGACACCCGTATATACATAGGTACATATATATATATAGGTATAAAGTGAGAGAGCGACCAAGTTTAATCGGACTCGCACATGAAGGGTATATCATCTTTTCATCGTACAACGTTTCAAATATATCGATTGTTAAGATCGAAAACATAGAACACCGAAAAGAAAGAAAGAAGCGGTTCTTGTATATTTACGGTTCATAGTATACAAATACAGCCCCCTAACAGACAGTTGGCAGAGGCTTGGAACATATACAGGTGGTACATAAACTTTAAAAAAAAGCAGTGTTATCATTTTATCTAAGATAAGTGAGAAAAAATACCAGTTCTACAAACATGCAGTTATCAAACCAGAATGGTAAGGAAACTCTTTATACATCTATCACACGGTAAAAGATGGATTTAATCTTCCGGCAAATGTGATTTTATTTGATCGTGAACCTAAAGGCACGAGCATCTGTACTATGTATTCCTCATAAAAATAAAACTGCCCGCAGCGACGAGAAAACCGTATCATTTCTTGAATATCCTGATTTCCTGATATCGGTTTTTAGTTTTGTAGTGGAACAGAAATTTAAACCTACATACTGCACTGAGTTTGTGCTTTAAGTTAATTTTGTACCTAATTTGACTTCGTAGGGGAGGATCCACTGAACTTTCCACAGTATTAAGGTGCCGATCTCTTACCATAAGAATTTTTCTATATCCTTATAGTTCTGTCGTGTCTTTATGATATGTTGATATGAACAAAACACAGCGTAACTATTTCAAGCTTAAACACCCTTCAGTTTAATAAGGTGTTCAAGGTTCTCTAAGTATAAACTTCTCTACAAGACAAGTCTCCACAATAAGTAACCTAATTCATTTACCTTACTTGAAAATCAAAGCAAACTATAATAATCCCACAAAATCAGTAGCTATATATCCACTTTAATTTAGGTATACCAACATCGCGTTTAAATGTATTCTGAACAGGTTACGCACTTGGATAATTTGTTAAACTGTACATTCACTTAATTTAACACCGCGGTATCTGTATAAACTTTAACGTGTTCCGTATAATATGTCGCTTGGGAGAGGAATAATTGCGCTAAGGCGATGAGAGCATCCATATGTTACCACAATTATCTATCTCAGCGTAGTATTTGGTAACGAGCGATATTACCACATGAATAAAGAAGGCACAGACACAGAGACAAAGCTTCACTCAATTGTGTGTGTGTAAGTGAGCACTGCACTGGCGCTTGTCTTGGCGCGTACTTTCCGGTATATTATACTACTCTTTGGCGCGTACACAAAGTAGCGTAAAAAATAAAGACGCGGTGAGGTGGGTACAATAAATCCGTATTGCTTGTTTAGGCGTACGTGACGTATTGCACCACCCCGAAAATTCAATTTATTATTTCTTAAATTAATACAAGGTTTGTAAGAAAAAATAGGTTGTTCTAGTAGATTCGAAAAAAGCGAAGCCGCGTACATACAATAGTGGAAAAGCGGTAGGTACGATTTGGCAAAACTGACGCAGAGGAACTCTTCTATCAGCGGC